ACGCTTTTAATGAACTTGTGGCTTGCTCTCCCTAGGGTGCTTTAACCACTCATGCATTACTTACCCTCGCTCCAGTGGCCCGTGCCGCCATATGGTCATGTTGTCAGCGCTATGGTCCACAGCGCTCATGCCAAGGAGCGCAGGCTGCACACACATATACAGACGGGGTTTCATAACTGTTCTTTTGTGTTAGGCCTATTGTGCAATGGTTCATATCAGTGGTTATGTTAACAACTGTGGTTGTGGGTCGTTAAAAGGTTCCGTCCGTCTGTAGCAGAGCGGAACAGTTAGGCTTTTGGAAAATACACATAAAAACTGTCAAATATGCTGCTTCTTATCTAAATGACTTCTCTGGTATTTCCACAGCTAGTTATGGAAGAGTTACTGTTTTTGCCTTCACCCCCAAGCCTTTATTTTCTCATGAATTTATACCCAAATCTTCCTTATGGAGTTGGTTGTTTTCCTCCATGACCTGATAGACTTACAATGGGCTAATCACAGTGGTGCTTTATTGACCACGCAAGTCCCTGCGGTGCCTGGCGTTTGTATTTGAAGAAGATAATGTCACAGTGACTAGGGATATTAGGTCTCCAACGGGGCCGAATAGACAAATACAAGCAGCCTGGCGCAAACAGCTTTGTGGGGCTGGAGTCCTTTCAGCAGGGCTGGCAGGAGATGTCTCTTTGCTGGAGGGGGATGTGTGCTGACAGACTTGCTGAAGTCTTGGAGGAAATCGGGGCTGTGGGTGGCCCACCGCTGACCCCAGCAGGGCTGACCTGACTGGAGCTGCTCTCTCTGGCTCTCTCTTTTTTGCCAGCTTCAGAGAAATTTCACAGTGAGTCAAGACTGGAAAGAGTCACTCACCAATCAGAGTGCATCAGTGTCTCTGCGGAATCCTCTCTCTCTCTCTCTCTCTCTCTCTCTCGCTCACTCTCTTGCTCTTTTCCACGCTCTCTCTCCCCACTTTCCCCCCCTCTCCTATCTTCCACCCAGCTAATAGGATTACTATAATGAATATCACAAGCGCTTTTGGCAGCGAGAAGCTTCTTAGGCTAATTAAAGCTCCGGAAATGGAGGTTCCTTTCGTTTGAGGGTTTTCTCCGCAAAATAGCATTGAGATCCATAGTAATAATTAAGCTTCCCCCACCGCCTCATGGTCCTCATTTCTCCACAGTTCTTTTAAACGATAAGCCACTTTTTGAGTGTAATATGAACTCTGATACAGAAGTCTTCTCACGCTTGGCAGTTTGGGACACTTCCTCAGGCCTCCTCACATTCCAACGCTGAGGAGATGGAGCCAGAGATCAGATCGAAACGTTAATCATGCTACTTTTGCTTTTGAATGTGCTGTATGTGCCTCACGCTTATTAACATTTGCTAACAGGGCAGCTACATTGGGGACACAGGCCCGCTAATTGAACTGGCATATCTCCCAACACACTTTTTCACACACCCTGACCATGCTGCAGAGCTGCAGAGTAGATCTACAAGCCAAAGGTTCTGCTTGTGAGTCAGGCCTGCTAAAAGATGGCAGAGATTTCCAGCACAGTAAGGCTCTTGTTTTCCCAGATAAATGCCTCCCCCACAACAACAGGGAAAGTGCCTCTAAGAGCCAAATATGCATAAAGCCAGCAAGAATCAACTCCATTCATGCTGGCAGACCTTTCGGAATTCAAAAGAAATTTCTCATTGGCTGGCTGCTGCGGTAGATAGTAGATTTAGGCAACACCCATGTTCTCACATGCCTCTGTGGAGGTGCAAAAGCTAACTGTGTGTTCTGTGAGAGCGGTTAACCAGGTGGACACTCAAGAGTACTAAGAGGAGGTCAAATAAACATGTTTGTCAGCTGGGTGCTAATGGACCTCATCCCTTGGTAACCCTACACCCCCTCCCTCCCAAAAGCAAAAAAAGAAACACTACTATTACAAAATGCTTCGGTCCAGACGCTGCTGTTTCTTGAACTCGTTACTTAGATGATCTGACAACACCTAAAATAAAAAGGAGTAGCACTTTATTTTGATGATTGACAGTATTGATACATTTTAATGTCTAGATACTTTCCAAATATGTATGCATTGGTAATTAACCCTTTAAGACTGTTTAATCTGCTCTTCTCTCTTATAACGTTATTTCTCTGTCCTGTTGTTGTGTTTATTTGATGTGCAGAGAACATCATGTATACTGAAAATTCAAAAATTTTTATTCAGTTTGTCTCCTAGGCTACTTTTTGAGCAAGAAACCAAATTAATGTGAATATAAGTCACACGAGTTTCCCTTTATCATTACTTTGATTGAACAAAACAATAATAATCTCTAAATTACGATCTGAATTACGTTTGCTCGTTTGATTCTAGCTTTGCAAACTTGTTTTCACTAACTTGTTTTCATTTGACTGATTTTTTTTTTTCTGTTAAAATTACATCAAAAGAAATTTTACACATGCTTGTAAAAGTTAAAAAGTATCTAAATGTTACACGTGCTCTGGTCCTACCTTAAACCTCAAACTAAAACCTAAACCTAAGAATAAAATCAGCACTTCTTGGAAATTGATACAGATTTTCCTTTCTGTGTGAAACGGGGAGGATCTAGCTGAGCACATTCGCGTGATGATTGGTGAGGTTGGTGGAGGGAGAGGTGAATAGTGATTGCCTTCAAAATTTGTTTTTTCTTTTATTGCCATTTGTTTTTTTTTTCCTCCTCGTGGTTCGGATATTCATTGATTAATTGATGCCTAATACTCAAAAATCAAAATTAGTTAGAATACCCATCGCTAGGTGTGATCAGACCTCATAAAATGTTTTGGGACGCCGGCAAATGTCAATGACTTGAGATGCTCTTATTGATAGAGTATCACCAGATCAGTTGTTAACAGTTTGAGCACTGGTAGATAAGCTGTAGAGGGTGTAAATGCAGACAGTGAAACAGGAAGAGACGGGTGGAGGAACACTAAACCAAAGTGTCTCTTCACAGCAGTCTCTTGGCTCCCTTTAGCCGTATCAGTTTTGCATATTCAAAACCAGCTCGCTCTTTTTGTCTTTCTCTTGGCTTTGGATTGAGCCGTTGTCACCGCGCCGTCAGCTCTTTCTCCTCGGTTCTCTCGGCAACGGCGGCCCATTCCAAAAACACTTCTCTCACCCTTGCTGCGCTCCTCAGGCCGGATTGTGTTTTGGCTGCCTGTGACACCACTGCAGTCTGTTCCTGGAGACGGCAGTTAACAGGCAGATAAATCAATACAATGGATGGCGTACGTCAGGCTCGAGAGAGCAACGACGCTGTGTGCCGCCAGAGAGCAGTAAGTGCTTCGCTGGCTGATCAGGGGAAATTCATTAACGCTAGGCCGACAGTCCACAGCCTGTCAAGCTTATGGCTCGGTCTGTGGTCTGCAGGGAGTGGAGGGGGGGGATCTTTCAACCCACCTTCCCCCTGCGATGCTTGTTTGTGTTCTTTGGCGAGGGTCTCCTCTACCATCTTGTGAGCCTTTTGAGCTCTGGCTGCTAATCCGGAATGATGCTATAAACTTTGTAAAGTTTCGCGTTGAGAACAAGCTCCTGATAACTTGGTTGTACCTTTCACTCCCCCACTGAGTTTTGCTTTGCTGCTGCTGTGTTATTGTGCACCACTTCCTTAACCATCTGGCCTCCTTTTTTTATTACGCAAGGATAATGAGGTGTCATCATCATCTGTTGTTTGGCCCGTTTTTAATCCGACATAATTCTAAAAGACTGTTATCCACTGTTTACTACTAATGCTATTAAAGCTCTTCTTCATCCATTTAGTCCACATGCCTGAGGCTGATATGTCTGTTGTGGTGAGAGTAGGTCTGATCTCGGCGCCTTTCGCACATTTACCACACGGGCCGATCTGCATCTTCTGAGAAGAGATCGTATCTGCTGGAGGTTGTGGTACTAGGAAAAGACTGATATTTATCTGAGCTCTGAGCAGTTTGCAGGGAGAGAGCAAGATCAGAGAGAGAGAGAGCGAGAGAGAGAGAGCTAGCACTTAGACAGTGATATAGACAACTCAAAGCTGCTTGGACAGGAAGGACATAGCAGAGCTGATGTTCTGAAGCTTGCGCTTGTAACTCATAAAAGACTAATTCCCTTCTCTTTTATGTTCCAAAAACACAGGCTTTTTTTTTACTCCTAAGCCTGGGCATTCATTATTACAAATCACTCCTACCAGCTGTAGATACAGGACCCTAGTGAATACAGCGCCAGTGAAGGATGTTCTCTTGGCTGATATTGGCTGGCTGTCTTGCATCATTTATTGTGATAATTCATGTTAGTTTATGGTGGCCTTCATTATCACTTTTATGTGATAAAATCTTCAAAGAATTGAATTAATAAAATCTCTCTCTCCTGTGACCTCTGTTTGTAAAGAGTCCCGTGGACTTAAGTCATAGGAAGTTATAGGAGAAACAGTAGATTGTGAGGTGGTTTGATTTGTCTCAAAGGGTCCACAATCCTACATTTTTCTTGTGTTTTTTCGCCCTGACCTCCACTGATGATGTCAGTATGGTTTTATGTACCAAAACAGTCATAATTCATTTAACATGACCATTTTCCAACCTCTCTATATCACTTAGAATTAAACAGGCTGTTTTTTTTATTATGTTACTATGCCTAAGACTGTAGAGGGTGTATCAACTTCTCACTTAGAAAATCAATGAAACATGTAGTTTGACCAAGGGCACCCAAACTTGTGCATACAACTGTATGTAGATGAGCTCTGTTCTGAATGGTCACCCTGTATTTTACATCATTCAAAAAGAAGTCCAGGCTGAAACACTTCTTATACCTTCAGTGTGAACAGGTGGAGCTAAACTAATATAGGCTGAAGAGGTTGATGTATGTAAAGGTGCTGCTTTTCATGACCTCATGAATTCAAAATTTCTATATGTGGACTGTAGTGAATGGCACATTTTGAGAATTTTTCGATGTACTACAAACCCCTTTTTTTATGATATGGACACTTCGACAAAGCTTTGCATGTTCACACAGACGCTGCTGGGAAGCCATGAGCCGCAGTCAGTCCAGCTGTGGGTATCCTACAACCGGCAGCCCATGAGATCAGCCCAGTTTAATACCCGTCACCCCATCACCGTGAGTACTGACCACTTTACCTGACTTCACAAGTTATTATTGCCATTTTGCAAATGTAATTGCAAGGTTAGTTGCAAAAAGTGGCAAATGTGGCAGAAATGTGAAGTATGTTACTCCAAACAAGACTATACACAGCAGTGTCTCATGAAATTCAAATAATAAAATATCTCCTTTGTAATATTGATTAAAAGTTAAGAATCCACACTTATCACTGGTGTTAAACCTATCATGTGATTCTTTTGCAGGAGTACTACATAGCGGATGCCTCAGAGGATCAGGTGTTTGTTTGCGTGAACCACAATAACAACTCCACGCACCTGTACATCTCAGACACACAGGGCCTGGCCTTCTCTCTCTCACTGGAGAACGTTCTGTACTACAGTCCTGAGGGCTCAGGAAGCAACACTCTGATCAGGTAGTGCTGTGCTATGTATGTGATGAAACACACATTTCATCAATCTTTTAGCTGATTAAGTCCATGCACATACGATTTTTTCTATTTTAATGTCAATAAGAAATGTGAGTGTAACATGCCATATGCTACCCCTGAAGGAAAGAATGATGCTGGAGGCAGGAATGACAGTGACAGCAGACTTTATACCTTTATTTCCACACAACGTAAACAAAAACAACAAAACCAAATACTGATAATGTCTAACCAAATAATCAAATGTCAGGTGTAGTACAGTGGCCTCGCTGCAAAACAGGAGGCAGGGCTCAGGCACCTTTCTCTAGATTTCTCTAACGGCTGTCATAGTCCTCCCGCTGTCTCTCGGGGCCCTTGCCGATGACATGGAGCATAGACTTCATCCTCCGCTGCCTCTTGTGGCTGTCATTGTTCTCCCTCTGTCTCTCACGGCTGTTGTCCTCCTGCTATTGTCTCTCGCAACCCTCATCGGCTCATGAGGTTCAAGCACCGCCTGATTTTTCTGTCTGCAAAATAAGACTGTAAGCACAAAAATAACTTTTCACCAAATTGAATAATAAAATAATTTATTATCAATCAATAAAATAATAATAAATGGATCAATTAATCAAATCAATTTAATAAAAAAGAGCTTGAAATATTTGTCCCAGCATGGATGTTATTTCCCACATATGTGTCAGGCTTGGTTCAGGTTTCATTTAGTTACCCTTTATTAATCCCACAACGGGGAAATTTCACCATCACATTTAATCCATGTTCACTGTGCGGTGAAACACCCACATACACACTAGTGAAAGCACACACACTAGGGGGCAGTGAGCACGCTTGCCCAGAGTGGTGGTCAGCCCTATCCATAGTGCCCGGGGAGCAGTTGGGGGTTAGGTGCATTGCTCAAGGGCAGTTCAGTCATGTACTGTTAGCTCAGGGGATCGAACTGGTGACTTAGTCGAAGCCAATCCCCACCCATTAGTTATGTCTCCCCCTATCACGCGATGCTCCCAAGCTGGGAGGGTGAAGACAGTCACATGCTTCTTCTGAGGCACGTACCACCACATCTTTTCAAACTACCTCTAATGCAGCATCATTGGACTGCTCAACAAGCTTGGAGGAGAACACTAACTGACAGTTCTGTTACATCAGCTGATAGATGCTCACGTTGGCTAGCATCTTACTGAATGATGAGGGTGAGAAGGAGAACCATCCCACCCACCCAGAGACAGCGAGGCTTGTTAGGCTGTCTTGGAATCCCAGCCACCGATTGTAGCTTCATTGCCGAGGATCAGACTCATGATCCTCACTTAGACAGCTGAGCTGCTTGTCTGCTTGTTTTAATGAGCTACAAGTGAAAAGTAATTCATATACAACTACAACATTAATTCAATATCGCTACCAATAAGTGCCATTTTTTTCTATTTTTCTCATTTGGAACGTGTTCCACAAGCTCCATTCACTCTTAGAGACAATGTTCTGTGCATCAGTGTTTCAGAGACTTTGGCTCTGCATGGCTCTCCTCGTAAGTAACTCATAAGTGGGTTTGCAAGGTCTCTCTGAGGATTCCAGTGCTTGTGTCTGTAGCCTGCACTCTCCTCTTCACAGTTCCGGCACAGAGCAATCCTTCATCCTGCTCGGCTGGCACACTGATTCCCTGCAGCAGAGAGAAGGAGTTTGCGCTGGGCCAAGCCCCTGATCTCTAGCACAGCTGCCCTGCTGCAGCACCACTGCCTGCAGTGCACCATGCAGATGAGCTGGCTGGACTGGGTTAATGATGGTGCACCTCGTTCAGCAGAATTAAATACCTCTGAATCCGCAGTACCACTCACAACTTTGGAATCAGTAATATAAAACCAATTAAGTTGCCAATACATGGCTGTCAAATGATTAAAATAATTGGTTATGATAAATCACAGTTTGTTCAGTTTATTGCGATTAATCACATTAATCTTGGATTTCTATTTTAAAAGAAGGGAATTTTGTTATAGCTGTATGACTGGACTAAATGAGGTTCATCAGAAAGTATTTATTACTATTTATCACCTTCATGTGAATGCAGGGTGAACATAATATTGCATTAATTATTTTTTCATTTTCATCACCGACATCCGGTGAGAGCAACAGTGGCTGCATGTTCTATTCCTTCACATTTGTAGCCTCTCACTGTCATACCACTGTTTTACATTTGAGAACAGGACCTTTCCATTTTTCTGTAGCTTTTGTTAGGTTAGGTTGTTTATTTATCTGTAGTTCCCCAAGCACTGTCCAGCGTAGTCTGCCTAAGGCGTCCTCCAGTGCTAATATTACTGATTTTGCTGGAATCAGCAGTGCATTTTGCTAGTAAATGATATTTTACACTTGATGGACTTCAGTGATTACAGCCTCACAGTAGCTGAAAAAAACTATGACAAGTTATAGTTATATAATAAGCAGTCAGTGGAAATTACTATTTAAAAGCTGTATTTAAATGAGACACTACAATGTTGCAGTCTTGTGTGTGTGTGTGTATAATTGTTCTAAAAACCATCTAAACACTGTATATGCATTATGTATATGTATATCCACAATGTGTATGTAATTATTGAGGAAATGGCAGAGTTTCTGTGTTTTGCAGGTACTTTGCTAGTGAGCCGTTTGCTGATCTGCACCGCGTGGAGGGCCTGCGGGGCGTGTTCGTGGCCACACTCATAAATGGTTCACTTAGCGAAGACAACATGCGTTCAGTCATTACTTTCGATAAAGGGGGCACCTGGGAGCTGCTGCAGCCCCCTGCTGCTGACAGCCTCGGAGGAACCATTGACTGCCAGGTAACCATCGACTATCAGATCTGAAGCAGTGGTCTACGTGTATGTGCTAAAAACACAAGCATAAATAGTTATTTTTATGAATTTCATTTTAATGAAAGTATGCTTTTATTAAAATGATTAAATACACATACATGATTTTATAAATAAACATATATTTTAAATAAACGAATTATTGAACCCAAAACTTCACTGTAGTAAAGATATGGACAAGGTAACACACACCTTTACGTACTATGTTCTTGAGGCCGAACCTAGCATAAGTTAGAAAACCATTGCTAAGTTAGTCTGGTCAGTAGCCTTAACTGATAATCGATGGCAATAACAATAATATGCCATTAGGACAACCATTATAGAGAAGATTTATTTTGCAATGCAACTTTTTCTGTGTACCTGATAAATTCAAATTATTATTTTTTTAAATTGCAGCATAATTTAACTGTTAAGAGGTAAACAAAGTCATTAGCTGTGTTTCCATCCAAAAGAAAAATCTTTTAATGTTTATATTTTATTGTAATATTTTATGAATGACAGCACAACATTTTCTGGTCAGTTTTGGCAGATTAATTTTGTTGATACTGAAATGTTGTCTAAACCTACAATCCAAAAAGTAATACAATTATTTTATATATATATATATATATGTGTGTGTGTGTGTGTGTGTGTGTGTGTGTGTGTGTACAATGTAGGTTTATAAACATTGGTGGGATAGACTCATGAAAAACGCCTGGCAAATGCCTCTGGCATTACTGCAGACCATTGCAGACCACTGAACTGCCACTGTAGACTATTGAAGACATTATCAGTTCATGGTAAAAAGCCCCACCAGATGAGTAGAAGCCATGCTCATTAAAAAATACTCAGCAGACCACAGCTGTAAACAGAGGCTTCAGAAACTCCTAATGTGAGAGTGAGTGTGGTTTAATGTGCTGAAGTGTGAGTGTGTGGGTGTTGTTGTGGGAGGAGGTGGTGATGGTGTTTGTTTATGGACAGTTTTTCTGAGCACACAGCAAGTCTAGTTTAATAACCCGACTGTTTGGAGCTCTACTGAAGAGTCCCTGTTGACAGTCAAATAGAGATTAGATTAAAGTTAAGACTGAACTCATTCTTTGTGTGACTGTTAGTGTCAGTTATGTGAGTGATTCATCCAGTGATCCCTCTTTAACTCTTTCTCTCTCTCTCTCTCTCTCTCTCTCTCTCTCTCTCTGTCTCTCTGTCTCTCTCTAGCTCTCTAAAGGTTGTTCTCTGCACTTGGCTCAGCGGTGGAGTCAGCTGTTGAACATTCAGTTGCGCAGGATGCCCATTCTGTCTAAAGAGTCTGCACCTGGCCTCATCATGGCAACAGGTGGGTCACATGACCAGTGTTTGCTGTAGCGTCTCTGCTCACACATCCTCCAGAGTGTGTGTGTGTGTGTGTTTGTGTGTGTGTGTGTGTGTGTGTGTATCTCTCTGAGAGAAGTCTGAGGAAGCTGAAACCAAACTGTTGAGGCCTCCACTTCTCTCTTTTTCAAGACCAACTGTGTGTGTGTGTGTGTGTGTTTTCAAGCCCCCACTGAGACCCCAATACACTCACCATGCAGCGTGTAATGATAGGGGGCAGCGTGTGTTGCTCCAGATCGTGCCTCCTTGTGCTCGCCCTTTTCACGCCTGCTGGAAAACATTGATTTTCCTCTCCGCCAGTGTCTGGAAGCCTCACTCGTCCTCTCTGCTCTTTCTTTCTGTCTCTCTACATTTGCCGGCAGCAGCCCTTTAATTAAATGATTATTAGGTAATGGGCAGCGAGGAGAGAGGAGAGGAGCGGGTTTTGTGAAGATGTCTACCCACTCTGGGCGCTATCTCTGCGACACAGATGTGCTAATTATTGCTGTTTCAGCCACCGGCTAATTAACACACGCTTTCACACATATACACACACACACTGACACAGCACACTGCAGCCTGCAGCAGCACTCGGAAAACTTCAGCATTTCATTAAAAGACTGCAAAACAGGAAGGTGTGGAGAGGTTTTCTCTGTGAGGCAGATACCCAGAAGTTGAGCTAGCTCTTTGTTAGCTCTGCAAGACAACAAGATGCTGTGAAAATGCTAAAAGTCGTGCAAGCAGCCTTGATTCTCCGTCAGGGAGCTTAAAGAGGAGCAGTGCAGTTTCCACCTCACTGACAGAGGGCTGGAGGGGTCCTGAGGGAAGCAGCAGATAGAGCGTTTCTGAGGTCCTTGACGTTGAAATGAAGGTGCCTATTGAGGGCTTGCTGTATTAAGCCTTTCATGCCAGTCTCAGGTGTGAATCGGATGCATTTTACCCGCATGTTATATACAAAACCAGCAGACGTGCCTACATGCGCAGTTTATGGGCTGTGTGCGTTAGGGCTGCATAACGTACTTTATTTTTTATCATTATCGTAAAATGAGTTCACATTAAAATACATTGAAAAGGGCTGCAATGACAGAACAAATCAAATAAAGCAAGTGCAAAGAGTGAAATGTATAGACTGTAAGGTAACATAATTGAAGCAGTAATGGCTACTGTCACAACATATTGCTGTTGTCGGAAGGAAACCTTGTATTTCCACAATAATAACTTTACAGGAGAAGGAAAAAAACCTTCTTTACTGTTAATGAAAGTTAATGGAACCAGACATTTTTGGCCATTTCTTTTGGTCCATTCATCATGAAATTTACACACATTATAAAGGGCAACAGGTGCTTTCAAATTATGTTAAAAACTGAAAAACGACAAAAATAGAGATACGAGGAGATACATTTTGTCCCGACAGCCACAGTATCTACAAATTATAAGGAGGCTTTTTAAGGGATCAAAAATGTAGTAATACACCATCTTACCAAAAAAAACTGTTTACTTTGTTTTTGGGAGGTAGAGTTGCTGCAGAATATAAGAGGTCTAATCAGTGACCTGCTGAAGCTGATGGGCAAAACATTGTCAGCTCTTTGTGAGCTTGCCTCTTGCTGTTTTAGTTAATATTGAAAATAAATCCATGAAGGCTGCAGAATATCACTGTTTAAACCATCAAGATATGCAGTCGTGGCTGTCATGTGGCTGTAGTATGTGCTTGGTCTGTTATCTGTGTAGAAAGTTTTGGTGGAAGGAACTTTGCGCTTTGTGGGCGGGGCTGTGCACAGTTTGCATGATAAACTGCAGCCTTAGTGAATCCAACGTTAAATTCAGGTGCATTGTGGGCCTGGCTCATCTGGCCCTGAATGAGCATCTTCTAGAGCCGTAGTTCCTGACCCTGGTCCTTCTGCCCCCCTTGCCCTGCACATTTTAGTGTTTCTGTGCTCTGACTCTCCCACTGCAACCCACAAAAGGCTGGGTAATTAGCTGACTAGCTGTATCAGGTGTGTTGGGATCATGAAGAGGACTAAAGTCTACAAAGCTGGGAACTGCTGTTGTGGAGGGCTTCAGTAGCCAGTGGCCTTTTGTGAAGAGTATGTGAAGGATCTGTTTTGCAAGGGAGATTTCTCTGCTCGCTCGCTCGCTCTCTCTCTCTCTCTCTCTCTCTCTCTCTCTCTCTTTCTCTTTCTCTTTCTCTTTCTCTTTCTCTCTCTGTCCCTCTCTCTCTCTTTCTCTTTCTCTCTCTCTGTCCCTCTCTCTCTCTCTCTCTCTCTCTGTCTCCATCTCTCTCTGTCTACCTCTGTGTCTCTCGCCCTGCTGCTGTGTGTTTGCTTTTATTTACTTTTATTTTTTCATTTCCTTTCTTTTTCATTCTCCCAAATTTTTTGTCTCTCTCTTCTCTCTTTTCCTTTTTTGTTTTTTCTTTTGATCTCTTTTCTTTCCTTTATTTTTTCTTTCTCTTATTTTATTTATCGTTTTGTCCTTTCTCTTCTTCTTTCTTTTGTTTTTTTTCATTCTCTCCTTTTTTATTTCTATTTCTTTTTTCTTTTCTATCTTTTATCTCTTCACCCACTCTCTTGTTTTTTTTTTCTGTTTTTGTCTTTCTTTTCTCTCACACTTGCTTTACCCCTCTCAGGATCTGTGGGGAAGAACTTGGCCAACAAGCCCAATGTGTACGTGTCCAGCAGTGCAGGCGTCAGGTGGAGAGAGGTACTGAAACGCTCCCTGACCACATCACAGTCCTGACTTATGAGTCATCATGAGCTCAGCTGAATGACCAGACTGAACCTGGTCCAGCCTGTGTTAAGACACTCTGTACTTTTGGGGGTAAAGTGGAGGGCAAGATATCATATTATATATCAGCAGCCAAAGTGTTATTCTTTTAAAAATAATTTTTTTTTTGGAATTACAGCTGATACAAGTGTTAATTCGGCACAATACAGCAAGTGGATATTTACTGAAGACCCCCTTTTCATACTTAGTTCACAGAGTTGGGCAGAATACTTTGAAAAAGTAGTGATGGCTGAATACTGAATGCACCGGCCTAAATGTATTCAGTAATGTGTTCCATTTAAACACATTAAAAGTAATGTGTTAGAATACATTTAGAGTACATGTAAAATACATATTATAATACATACTGATAAAACATGGAGAAAAAACTCTTTAATAAAATTTAAATAAAAATTTTATTAAATTCCATTCTGTTACTCATTGGCAGTTTTCTTCATGTAGTTTCAGCAGTGGACTGAAGCAGGTGACAACATATAGTGTTGAGAATTTGTAACTTCATTTAAATAAATAGATTTTTCATGAAGTCTGAACTCTCAACATTATTTTGGCTGTTGTCACCTGCTTCAGTCCACTGCTGCTCCCACAATCCCACTGCCACCTTGTGATTGAAGAAAACAGTTCGCCATATCCCAATGACAAAATCTTTCAAACTTGACTGTAAAGTGGGCACCTATATGATTTTTAGTTGGTGGCATTTTTAGTAAGTAGTTGCCACAAAATGCCTGCATGAGACCAGCACACCAGCGATGCTAAGCTTGTCGCTCTAGTCCACTACTGAGGAGACTGTTCAGTTTCGTCATCCCTCAAAGGAGTTTAGTAATATTTAAATTAATAACTGATCATCACATTGATTTTTCAGTCTGCTAAAGCCTGAGTAGACTGATAAATCAACTGATCATCACACTGATTTATCTGTCTACTCAGGCTTTAGCAGCAACTTCAGTGATTGTATAGAAGCTATTTTGAATTCTTCTTTGGAGCATGTCTTTTCACCCTGTGTACTGATTTTAAAAGAATTAAGACTTTTAAAGAGGGTATATATTTTTAAATTAAATGGGTAAATATTCTATAAAATAAACATTTTATTCGAAAAATGTAAAAATAACTTTTTGACTAAATACAGATACTTAATTCCTGTATTCTGAATACATATTCCTAATACTCATACTCCATTACACCCCAATACTGTTAGTATATCATGCACACTTTTTAATATTGTTTGTCTAAACATATCTAATGATTTGCTACAGGCCCTAGCTGGTCCTCACTTCTACACCTGGGGGGACCACGGAGGTATCCTGATGGCCATCGCTCAAGGCGGCTCCACCAGAACACTTAAGTGAGTCATTATTTGCTGTTCATATTTACCTTCATGTGCCTGCAGCATTTGTGTAGGGATAACACTGTCGTTCCCTGCTTTGGCACCTAATTTAGCTCCTCAAACAGTAGTCTTCAACAGTTGAATCAGGTCTGGTAGATCTGGGAAGACGCTAATCTTCAGTGCTGTTCTTTTGGGCATTAGAGTTTCACTAGTCTCAGCCTCAGACACTCACAGAGTTCACAGAGTTACAGACTGTCTGGTATTTAGTGCACACTAAGCTGGCCAAACTCTCAGTAGTTCTGTCAGTTGGATACCGATTGGCTATGTCTGTGTCTCTGTTGCAGTGTCTTCCATGCACAAGTTTTTAACCCCTTTTTTCAGTAGCCATTAGGGGTGGGAATCTCTAGGCACCTCACGATTCGATTCAATTTGATTACGATTCAGAGGGCTGTGATGCGATTATAAAACAATTATCGATGCATCTCGATACATCTTTTTTTTCTATATAGCATTTATATTTTCTCACTGTGTGAGCTCAAGTTTCGAGTTCAAGTTTCAAGTTTATTTGTCACTTGCACAACATGTCAGGACATTTATGCACTGAAATGCTTGTGTGAGGCTCAGCTAATCACTCTACAGAAAGTAGATAAATAAAAATACAAGAAAAACCAACGGAAATATATTAAATATACACAAAATATACACAGAATATCCACAGAATATAGAGACTAAATATACATTTTAAAGTGACTAAGTGACTCTGTGTTATTGTTATTTAAAGTGACTTGGTACTTTTAAAGCAAAGTATTTGTAATGATCCATAATGAATTTACTTCCAATATCTTTTTTAATAAAACAAATGGAAGTGATGTGGCAAGTGAACTCGAAGGCTCTCATTCAGTGCTCTTGCTTGGAGCACGAGAAGCTGCTGCTACTGATCTGCGATAAAATGCGCAGTTACGGTGAAATAAGATCCAGTGGTGATGGATGTCCACGCAGCACATGTTACAGCTATTCTACCCGTTTTCTTTAGTGATTTTATAACTTCGGTTTTGGTCTCGTTGTAGAGACGGGGGGGATCGCTGTTTCAGTAAAGTATCTTTGAGACGGAACGTGTGAACCATAGCGCAAAAGCCCTGTTTCGCAACGGCATGCAGACTGCAGGTCACATAGCAGCGATGCATTATTCGCATTTATAAGCAGTGCAGTTGGTTTCCTGGTACGTTAAATCTGCAACAAGACACTGTCAAACACTAAAAAGCGGCGTAGCTAAAGTCAGCTTCTCTTTCGAATTCTCCCGTTCCACCTTAAATGGTGCCGCATTTACATTCGGCGCCTCAGTTAGAATTTAAGGTGGAGTGGGACAATTCGAACAAGAAGCTGGAGAATAAGAAGCGACTTCAGCCTCGTAAAACAGTCGAACGCTGAGAGACATTTAACTGATCTACTTCTGAGGAAAAGTTTTCTGGCGGAGATGGGAGGAGAGCAGCTATAGGCGAAGCTTAAAGCAGAGCGAAGTAAATCTGCGTTTTCGTTTATATTGTTTAGCCTATACTAGGACGTTATCACATACTGAGACATACTGGACATTTTGGCTCCCAAGGTGGTTTGATTTTTGTTGAAAGGTCAAAATGTCTCTTCTTAACATTTGTGTTGTGACTCCTGACCTAACCTGGCTTTTAATGCAGAGGGTGCCGGTCGGATTTCTCGCTCATCCACTTGTGTTTTTGTTATGTGCCACCACAGACTGACTGGGCGCTGCACTTCCGCACTTCCAAGTTCCACCTTTTGCGTTCCGTCAACATTACGTTATAAATTAAATATTTAGACATTTTTGACGTTTGTGAATCGATTCAGAATCGTTCACGTCTGCATCGCGATGCATCTAAGAATCGATTTTTTTCCCGCACCCCAGTAGCCATAAAATATGATTTCTGTTTATGTTTTCACATCCCTCAGTTTTTTGCGCTATGTATTTTTTCCTTCACGAATGTTAATGGAATATTTTTTTTATCCAAATGTGTATAATTTACAAAACCAAAAGTAAACTGTACATTTACATCCACATAGCTAAGAAAGTAAGTCAACATTTTTAAAAAGAGTCACAATATTTCACTGACAGAGAGTCATCATAGTCCTAGTTAATCTGATAACAGAGTTGCAGGAAAATTCATTATATTATTTAAAAATATCTGAGTTGATTTCCATTCTGGAATAGCCACTAAAGGCTTGCAGAGAGAGGTTAATCGTGCCATGATGAGTGTTTTGGAGCAAGACAATTGCTAGATGGAAAAATAAAATTGTGAAATTCACCACACTACATCTTCAAAAGCTTCCTCTCAAAGTAGGTGGTTCTTCACCCTGTTAAGTAACAAAACGCATCAGACTTTCTGGCAGTAGGTAAGCAGAAGTCTGGATTGTGAGACTACAGTTTTACTGATGTGATTGTCTCTGCCTGCGTGTTCCAGGTACAGCACCAATGAGGGTGAGACGTGGACAGACTTCCAGTTCTCTAGGCAGGAAGTCTATGTGTACCAACTGCTGACCGAACCGGGCGAGAAGAGCACCATCTTCACCATCTTCGGCTCCTATGCTGACCAGAAGCACAGCTGGCTCATCCTCCAAGTCAATGCCAGCGATGTATTAGGTGAGTTTTTTTTCATATTCCAATTAATTCTCACGTATATATATATCATTCTTGACAAAAGGCTCTCAAATTTTTTTTTCCCCTTCTATCTTTAGTACTCTACGTCATTCTGTGCACCCAAGATGTGTGAATTCACACTCTTCTTAGTTATTTTTGTGTCACAGCTTTTACTGGGCAAGTTCTGACTGGCTCTGTGCCATTACAGGATGTGGTGAGTGTTCAGTGGGAGAGTGAAGTTCTAAGCTGTGTTTGATATGTCCAGGCGTGCCGTGCTCTGAGGGTGACTACAAGCACTGGTCTCCATCTGACGAGCATGGGAACGGCTGTCTGCTGGGCCGTGAGTTGGTCTACAAGCGTCGCACGCCCCACGCAACCTGCTTCAATGGCGAGGACTTTGACCGCCCTGTCAGTCTGTCCAACTGTTCCTGCACCCGGCAGGACTACGAGTGGTGAGAGAGAGTGAACATCTCCTCTGTAAACATTCCCAGCATTAGATCTTGACTCAAACACAATCCTTGTCCCACAGTTGGCCTGCCCTGCACAATATTGTGTTTTCCCTTCTCTACCACACCCATATTAAACACATGAAGGGCTTGTTAATTAGCGGATGAGCTAAGTCAGGTGTGTTGAGAGTAGAGAGGACGCAATACAACTGCTTTAAAATGGCTGATAACGATACAATCCAAATTGCTTTTCTTTAAAACCACTTAACTTTAAAATGAGACATATTTAATTGAAGCATTTCAGTTTCAAGCTTAAGATGAGCATCTAGAAGTAGTCCATCATGCTGAAACTACTCAAACACTCTACTACCCCACAGGAAGAACTCAGCTAACAACATTATTCATTATAGTCTGTGATGTTTCAGGATGGATTTGTTAAAAGATTGACTAGGTTTTATTCTTTTTTTTGTCCTCTGATATCTGATTCAGTATTTTTGGCCCACTACCCCATCACCGTATCTCACCATTGGATTTGTGCCATCTGTGGTTGAATGGAGAAACCAAACCGAAATGTTCAGTGCTTGGTGCCTGATAAACACTGCTATAAAATGCAGGCTAGGGCTGAACAATCTGTGGAAACTGTCTAATTGCCTGACCAAAATTACAATTGTGATTTAAATGCAGTTATTTTCTTTAAATTAAGCTCTACGCTTTTTCTTCACAAAGAAGCCCAACGCATCCATTTTTTTAGACGTAGTCTGCCAGAATGCCAGATCTGTGTTAGGTTATGTTTCTTCATTTAAAACTTGTTAAGACGTCTGTGAATAATGTAGGATATAATTAAAATTGCAGCTCCTGTGATTTCAGTTAAAAAAAAAAACAAACAAACAATGAATCTTTCAGCCATAGGACAGACTCAGGAACATATACAGTCATATTCGAAGGTTTTTGTGCCCCTGGTCGAATTACAAGTTTTGTTAATTTTCTAAGATTTAACATATTGTAAAATGGCAAACGTTATGGCAAATTTTATATTTGTTTTAATTTTTTATCTATATCTAATTTGTTAAACCTGGCGAATATTTAGAAATTGTAAATTAAATTTGCAAAAAAATCAACAAAACATCTCATTTGACCAGGGTGTTCACACTTTTGTATATGACTATACTTAATGACAGGGCACTTAAAGAAACATGCTTGAAATTCAAAGTATAAACAGTCACTCCTAATCTCAAAGTCTTGGTGACTAATGCTTGGTGTTTTGACATAAACACCTGCAGTTGGTCTTCAGTCATATGACAACCAGTTCCAGATCTACATCCAGAATGTCAGATGAATTAAGACAACTGTCTTCAAGATTAGATATCGTATATTTAAATTAGGGCTGTGACTGTGGATTACATTGGTATTCGATCTAGTAATCTAGTAGTTGAATCTTTTTAATGATTAATCATATTATCTTTTTTTGTTTTTTTTAACTCCAGTTTATCTGCAAAGGGCCGGTATGGCTCCAGGTTTTCATTCCAACAAAGCAGGAGCTCACAGGAGTCTTAAAGAATGTGTGTTCCTGCTCATGTGGAATGAAAACCTAAAGGCACACTGGCCCTTTGCAGAGTAGATTGGTCACCACTCTTTTAGACAGAACATTCTTAGGGACTCCTGACGCTTTTCAGCGTTTTGTAAAACCAGGACAATTACAGTTATAATAATAATATTTTTTATTGCTGGTGGCAGCTCAAAGTGCTTTACAGACAGGTGATAAAACATAGTTATACAAGAAATCATTAGTATTTATTTAGAATCAGAAGAAAATGAAAAAAGATCAAATTTGAAGATAAATACCACGAGACGTAGAGTTTTAATTAAATGCTTTAGTTAAAGAGATACGTTTTTAGATGCTTCTTAAAAGTGAGCACTGAGCTTGACTGTTTAATAAAAGGTCAGTTTAGAAGCATAGTAACTGAAAGAGTCTCTCCATATTTTCTGTATTTTACAGAGGGTATTTGTAGAAGGCCTCTATCTGCAGATCTTAGATTACGTGTGGGAACATAAACAGACAGACACTCTGTGATGTAAGCAGGTGCTAGGTCATTTGAGTTTTAAAAACTAGTAGCAGAACTTTTAAATCTATCCTGAATGATACAGGGAGCCAGTGCAGATCTTTTAAAACAGGAGTGATGTGATCTCTCTTTTTATTAGGATGTGCGCTGCCACATTTTGTACAAGTTGTAAGGGATGTATAGTTTTCTTAGGAAGTCCAGCAAGAAGACCATTACAGTAATCAAGTCTGCTTGTAACAAAAGCATGAACAAGTTACAAGTTGATATTATTTTAAAGGTGAGCGCCACCCCTTTAATATTTACACAAAATTGACATTGAAGGGTTTTAAATTCTATATCATGGCTGCCATCTAGATAAAAAGAAATCCTGTCAGACTCTTCTGTCTCCATATCTAAACACTCTTATCAGTACTTTTTTTAAACCGTGCCCATGTTCTCTGTCTCTGTCTAACAGTGATTACGGCTTCAAGCTGAGCGAGGACCTGTCTCTGCAAGTGTGTGTGCCCGATCCGGAGTTTTCAGGCAACTTGTATGCCCCTCCAGTGCCCTGCCCGGTGGGCACAACCTACCGCCGCAGCAAAGGGTGAGAAAACATTAACACAGCCATAATGGTTTTACCATCTCAGCAGTGATAATGTCCTTAAGACTTCAGGCAGTAAGCTGAGCATCAGGGGTCCATCAGCAGCCTGGCTTATTAGATCTGCCAGCACAGTTTCATGCTGCATCACTCACTGTTGATCACCTGCAGTGGCTGGAGGAGGACAATTTACACAGCACTGTTTTCAGGCTAATTTTAAAAGAATAAAACACATAGATTAGGTTAGATTCATAAGTAGATATTTGTGTGCCTACAGTAATGTCCAAAACTTAGAGAGCATGCTTCATTTAACAGCCATTAACTGCAAGTTATACATTTTTTCAACATCTGGAAAAGCAGAAAACATATAGTCAATGTCTGGAAAATAAAACCTCTTCTCTGTTAATGTAACAGGAGAAAGCAAGAATGCTACTCACTGTTAATGTAGGTTAACAAAAAGAGATTTTATTCCAGTCCATTAATCATGAAAGTACTCAGATAAGCAGTGCTCAAATAAGGCAGAAAAATAAAAAGTAATCCAATTTTTAATAATATTTTTTTCAGTACTTAATGTGTTGATTTTTTGTTGTTATTACAGTTTTCATTCTTTTCACTTTTTCCACACCTCCAAAGTTCAGTCTTGGAAGTTGGTTGCATTTTCTGCCTCTATTCATCTCTGTAATCCTTAACACTGTCAGTGATGTTGAGGTCTGGGCTCTCAGTAATGGCTATTTGATTGTAGCTGTGTCACAGTGTAAGAGTGGAAACACCTGTGGATTTATAAAGATCTGAAGCAAGAGTGGAGCTTAATTTTCTCCTCTCTCTCAAAGATGAAAGCTTTAGGTACTGTTTATGTGTAGGTTTTTTTCTGTATCTTATAACTCCATTTTAGAAAACCCATGTTTTTCTTTGACTTCCCTTTCCTTATGCAAGTGTATTTTCTAATCATGATGGCCATTTTGACCTGAAATTTAATAAATGAAGAGTGATTTTTTTTTTTAATGAATTTACCAATAATAAAGCCAGTGGTGTTTGTAAGAAATGTCATATATTGTTTTTCAACTGATGAAATTGTAATAGTGTTTATTATATAATGGAGATGTATTTTATACGTGTAATAAGTGTGGCTTAACGATGGGGCGAAAGATATGATGTCATATGAAAGTGGTGAGTTCATTGCTCTTGAACAATAGCATCACCTAGTGTCAAAAACTGGGAAAAAGCTTGTAGAGAACACAGGGATCCTCATTTCTCATAATGACTGTAAATATTTATAAAGGATTTACGTTCTCTGACCGCAGCAGTGTTTTCTGTGGCTGCAGGTATAGAAAGGTGCCTGGGGACAGCTGCAATGGTGGGGATGTGGAGGCCAGGCTGGATGGAGAGATGCTGCCATGTCCTGTTGGAGGTCAGAATCCCTGCATTGGCTGTGTTTCACTGAGCAGAGCTCTTACTGTGAGCCTGCAGAGTTACCAAACAGCAGAACTGCCGCCAGCTGGCTCTTACAAAATGGCCTTCACTGTTTGACAAGAAGATGCCAGAAGTGTTATTTGGAACAATGCCATAGAAGAACATTTTTTTAGTTCCATAAAAAACCTTTCAATGGAGGGCTCTTAAAAGAGCATTTGTTGTAAATGAGGTGTAAGTGTGAATAAACCTTTCAAGGTTTCTTTGAAGACCCCTCTATTTTGAAGTAAAACCTCACATTATGTGGAGTTTCTGTAAACTTAACACACATTTTATCCATTTAAAAGTGTTTTTTCTATCACTCCAAAGCTCCCTTTTTGGCACCTTTAATTTTAAGTATGCAGAGTTACAAAGTCATCCTGATCTCTAAATGATTATTCATTTCTCAGGTCACAAAGAGCAAGTTGCTGCTGATGTTTAAAAAAATTCAGTAACATTTTAAAAAAAAATTATAGAAATATATATTTTTGAATATTTCTGAAATAGTTACATTATAAGAGGGACCGTCTTAAACAATCTTAAAGGAAAATCATCTTCAGATTTGTCTACATTTCTGCATATTACAGTTGTTGAAATTTAATTATTAAGTTGTTGAGAACTTGGCGAAGGTTGGTCAGTACTTGGCGAAGGTTGGTCAGTACTTGGCGAAGTCATTCAGAGTGGTTTGATGTGAAATTGTTCATTATAGAGAAACTTAGAGACTTTGATTTCTTTACAGTGGTGGTGATAGGAACCAGAAGTCACAGTGTCACAACTCAGACATAGCCTTTCTATTTACTGTCCTAAGCAACCAGTGAATCTTCACATATCTGATGTGAAATTGTATATGTGTTAAACCCTTTTGGAGGCATCAAACACTTCAGACACCTGGCTTCTATCAGAGTCTCTAGAGGCTACATCATAGAAAGTTATTACATTAAATGATGTTTTATGAACAACATTTTGGCTTATAATGCATTTTTTATCCACTCATGGATGAAAGGCAAAACAGCCCAACAGAAAACAGTTTTTCAGATTTACTCATATTTAATCTTTATCAAAATTCCGTATAAAATCTCAGAAGATTCGTGTACAGTTCACTGTCACTTTAAATAGTAAATAAAATGGCTGTATTTGCATCGTAGACATTGTGACCCCTGGTTCATGCCACAACCACTGTAAAGAAATCTGAGTCTAGAACAGAGCTTTTCATATCAAACCACTCTGGATGACTTTTACATCTTAATTATTTAATTATACAAAACTGTTGAAATATTGGCAGAATGCTCCTTTAACATCTCTTATGTAACTTAAAAATACTTGAAAGGTTTGCTTTTAAAAATATATGTTGACCTATTTGTGATGAAACCTTGACACATGGTTTAAAAGGCAGGAATGTTCTTCAGCTGTGACTTTTACCTCTGAAATTGTGGGTACAGAAATATGGCCTTGTGTCACTTCAGTGTCAGATGCTTGCTGTACACGTCAGTCATTCACACAATATGTATGTGCCCCACATTGAGCTGCTCTCGTCCGCTTCGGTCGCCGCAGGTTGCCTCCCATCTGCCCCCCTGAGATAACACTGCTCTTTCTCACAGTGAGAGGCCGGGGGCAGGTGATTGAATGCTTTTCTGATAGATGAGTTCTTTCAGCAGGTGTTCTCTGACCCGGGGAGGAGAGATAAGACACTTACCCTCACTGCCCTCTCGCTCTTACTTCTTGCAGCCAAGCATTTAGTGAAAAAGTGTTGGGCTCTTCTTTGTTGTGCTAGGTCACTGCACTGAGGACGTTAGACTGACTCAAACCATAACACTCAGCCACTGTAAATGGCAATAGAGTGAGAATTCAGAAAGTGACATGTTACACAGTTTTCAATGTTTTAAAGATCAAACAGGCCTAAAACAAAGTGGTAATGTGATAATGAAAAATTAGATATAGTGATTGAAAAGTTACTGTTTCCTTTACTCTGCTGACTTTTATATTATAAAAGTGTGTCTTGTAGATGTTCAGTCTGGCACATATTTTTGCTTCAGCTTCAGCCAAGAATTCTCATCACTTTGGATTCGTTTCCCAGACTCAGATTTAGGCTAAGCCCACACTGAATAGCATTTGTAATGGCGCACCATCATTGCTACTGCAGCTTAGTCCAAGAATAGGCTTAATCCATGTACACAAAACTGGCTCTTATTTTTACAATTTCAGAAACTGTAGGATTTTTAGGATCTTCGTGTTAGACATGTTTGTGTTTAGATATGTCTAACAATGTTTTTGTCCTCCTGCAGAGAGTAATGAGTTTATCCTGTACGCGGTGAGGAACTCCATTCACCGCTATGATCTGGCCACGGGTGCTGACCAGCCCCTGCCTCTCTCTGGCCTCCATGAGGCAGTGGCTTTGGACTTCGACTATGAGAGAAACTGCCTTTACTGGGCTGACATTTCACTGGACACCATACAGGTACAATGGCCCCAGAAAGTATCTGGACATTTATGCCATGCTTAAAAAATATATTAAGTGTTAGGAAAGAAAATGTCTACCCAAGTGGTATTGATCTTGAGCAGATCGTTCGACAACTGTCATTTTCATTTTGGCAAAGTATTCTTTCAAAAGGCAGCTGGTGTATTTCAGATCGCTATCATTTGAACACTTTCATTGCAGATTTCTGCATCCACAATGCCTTTGTACAATTCTGAGTTCATGACGATTTAATGAACACAAGCTCGCCGACACTATTGCAAGAAAAATAACCCCAGATTTTTCAACACAAAGAATCTACAAGTTTGAGCAGTTTGGTGTTGTCCTAAAAGTAGTGATGCATGATCAGAATGAACCATTTTTTGCTCCAGACATGCAAAAGGCAATCAGGAGATTTATTATTTTGATTATGGCTGATCTGGAATGCGATTTTATTACATCAATAACATAAGCCAGGTAAGTGTACTCGTGCTGTATTTAGCCACCTACACCAAAATGTCAGAGTAAGTTATGCATGACTCATTTTTTATTTAAGAACATAAAATGCCAGTTTGGCATGTTAAAGAGCAATAATGTTATTTATGTTGCAACTTTGGCTAATATAAAAATGTTGTTCATGTGTTTATTTAGCCCACATAGTGTGAGCTTTGGGTACTTAAAAATTGGCTAATAAAAGTCAGCCATTGGACCTTGGTCTGCAAAGAAATCGGAATCACTCGTAAAACTTAATGATCGGTGTACCTCTAGCTAAAACGGGGTTTCTTTGAAATAAACATTATTTGGTTAAACATTTTGAGAAGTAATAAAAAAACTTCGCTTACATTCCCCAGTGGTTAAATGGTTAAAGTGCAGATACTTTTTGGGGGCCTTCTGTATGACTCATATAGAATGCCCCCAAAAAGTGGTTTGGCCACCAGGCCAAAGTCCTCTGATTGTAGAATACCTTTTTAAATAAGGGCTCTGTCTGTGTCTTTTTAGAGGCTCTGTTTAAATGGCAGTTCTGGGCAGGAAGTGATCATTAGAAAAGACCTTCAGAATGTAGAGGCCCTGACCTTTGACCCCATCAGCAGACTGCTGTACTGGGTGGACGCCGGCGCTCAGAAGATTGAGGTAAGCCTGACCTGAAAGAGTAGCTTGTCACGCAATACAAAGTGGCTTTGTTATGGCTAAGCCATAAAAAGGGAGGCAGGCTATTTTAGATATTAGTTATAGTAACATATTGCATATGAAGCCAGTCACATGCTGTCACCCTCTTGTTTAGGCGTCAAACCCTGATGGGGATCTGAGACGCACTCTGGTGAACTCATCGGTGCTGGAGCATCCTCGAGCCCTTGCCTTAATGCCTGGAGAGAGGTACAATAATTTCAGTTTATTCTCAGCTTACTTCCTGCAGCTCTCAAATATAAATGCTAATATTAAAAATAATGACATGGTTTATAACCTGTTTATTGAAGAAAGAATGCCCCAGAGACTGACAGTGATGACTCTGTGCTTTGTCCTGGAAAAGATTTCGTAAAAGAATAGAGTTATATTAGATTATTATAGATAATTTGGGACCTTTTTAGTCTTTCAAAAACAAAACAGTGACTGTTCTTACAAAAGCCAGAACCTATATAATTGGATGTAACTAATATTGAAGAAAAAAAAACAAATACTTTAATAATAATACTTGTATTTTATGTATATTTTTGTTTGTTTGTTGATTTTGCTGTCTCTAAAAATTGTCTGGATTACGTCTTATTTCTGTCCTTATGAATACATGTCAAAAAATAGCTAGAAAACATTGATTATAATGATTGTGCGTGTTATCCGAATAGTAAGTGGAGTATTCATGGTTAGGCACGTTAACTGAAGCATCATTTTATGCTGTCTGCACTAGTCTGATGTTCTGGACGGACTGGGGTGACCATGCAGCCGGGGTTTACAGCAGCTGGATGGATGGCTCCCACGTGGAGCGCATAGTGTCAGAGGGTGTGCGCTGGCCTAATGGTATCACAGCTGATGAGCACTGGCTGTACTGGACCGAGGCATATGGAGACCGTATTGAGAGAGCTGACTTCAGAGGGGGGCAGCGTACTGTGCTAATGGAGGGGCTGCCTCATCCCTATGCTATAGCTGTGTTTAAGGTAGGCTTGCATACTTTTGCTCTATAGCTGTGTTGAAGTAACATTGCCTCATCCCTTCTTTTTTCCACTATAATGTGTTACATACTCCATCCATTTTGTGCATATGTGGTTAAACAATTAACTAACCTTTTGCATATTGAGGGATGTGTAGCTTTTTTATTATATATATTTCATGTGTTATACCCATCCATTGATTCACAGTAGGTGGCTCTGTAATTGCCTTTGTAAAAGTATGAGTATGTAAAGTATGAAAGTAAATAATAAGTATGAAAAGTATGATGGGTTCTTTGCCCATTCACTACATTTGGTACATAAAACTACGTTCAGTAGGCCTGCCTCATTGTATATTTTATATATTGATCATGGATCAAATATTTTGAACATTACTGTTTATCTCTTCAGAATGACCTCTACTGGGATGACTGGTCCAGAATGGGCATCTTCAAGGCACCTAAATCAGGCTCCCCGAACAGCGAGCTGCTAGTGGGCCGACTGACTGGTGTAATGGACCTTAAGATCTTCTACAAAGGCAAAACCAGAGGTCAGTACCTAAAACAGTTTTGATTTAAAACCCTTAGGAATAAACAGTAATTATAAAGAAGACAAGCTTCCCATCTTGTTCTTGTCTCAGCATTGTGTGTTTCTGTGCTACAGGTCACAACGCTTGTGCTGACCAGCCGTGTACCCTGCTGTGTCTGCCTCAGCCTGAACACAAGCATAGCTGTGTGTGTCCGGACGGAGTGGCCTCCACCACGCTGCCCTCGGGAGAGCTTCAGTGCCAGTGTCCTGCTGGATATCAGCTTCGCAACAACAGCTGTGTGAAGACCGGTGAGAACACACACACACACACAAAAAAAAAAATCATATGTAGATTGTACTCAGCTTAAGGTAAAGATTGAGCACTCTCAGGCACTTAACTCCCTAAATGGCCAAGACCCTCCAGCAGATCCAAACTCCAAAAACTTTTAATAATAATAATGCCAGTTTGCATTGATTTTCTGTGTTATTATTGAATAATAAGCCTTAGGATTAAGCCTGAAATTTAAATGGATTAAGTTATAACATGTTTAATTATCAGCCTGTTAATTTGTTCTGCACATTTCTCTGTATGCTTGTTGCACATCAGAACACACCTGCCTGCCGAACCAGTACCGGTGCTCCAATGGCAAGTGCATCAGTAGCATCTGGAAGTGCGACAGCGACAATGACTGTGGAGACATGAGTGATGAGCAGGAGTGCCGTGAGTGACAGCAGCCGCAGCAGCCTCAGGCTCTGCCTTCCTACTGCTTAGATACACTTGTCTGCTCTCCTGTCTCTGAGGACTGATAGCTGTTCTTTTTCTTTCTCTCTTTCTCTCTCTCTTTCCCTCACTGCAGCCACCACCTCATGTGACCCTACTGTGCAATTCCGTTGTGTGGGTTCAGGTTCCTGCATACCGCTGGCCTTCAAGTGTGACCATGAGGATGACTGCGGCGACAACAGTGACGAGGACCACTGTGGTGAGTGTGTTGTGTGTATGTCTGGTTCAGAATCTTTTGTATCATTCATTATTATTGTCTTTAATAGCCTGTAATAGTCTGTCTATATAATTAATTATCGGTCGTATTTTAAATGTTTGTTGTGTGCTTTGTGTGTTTGCCAGCATTTTTGAGCCCATTGCTAATATTAGCACTACTAGCAATGGTTGAAGCTTAAACTAACTAGGCTAAATTGACGCAGAGGTAGACAGATATAAGAAATTTGCACTGCCAGTTTTGACCAGTAAATCTTGTGGCCACGTTGAGTATATCTTTACAGTTAAGAAGTACGATCCAGTATTCCCACATTTCCACTCTCTCTTTTTTGTTCATTATACTGTGAAAACCAAGAACCCCTTTATGTCATTCTCTGGTTTGCCATGTGTAGTCACCCAGACTGAAGATTTTTATCATTTGATCCCACTGACCCACTTGGTCAATGGACTCTGGAGGTTTGTTATTGGGATTGTTGAAGATCATTGCGCTGAAACAGTGGTTGTGTTGAAAGTTGCGACTGTAGTTTTCAGTATTGTGTTTTTGAGATTAGTTTACTCGCAGTAAAGAATGAGCTTGTGGTGTCTGCTTGTCATGGAAACTGACAATATGCTTAATAGAGCATCACATACTTCTCTGAATTATAGTTCAGCTACATAAATTCTTTCTCTGAACTTTCTAGTCTTGTATCAAGTGAATCTTTTTTTATGGTCAGCACTATTACCAACAGTAAAGTCATATTTTAATAACTGCTATTGCAACAGGCTACAAGAAATGCTCAAAATTGTTCCTTGTCATCACAGTAGCTATCTGATTTGATGCAGTAAGTTTTGTAGCTGACCAAACAGTGATTTCAGCATTATCAGCTCCTTAAACCATTAACCAAGTGCTTGAGTACCCATGCACATCCCGATTTCTTTGTTGTGGCAAATAAAGTTTTGGCCCACACAATATGTTTGTAAGGAACAGAATATTTGTACATTTTCTAAAATGTATTTTTATAAAAAATTGAATGACTAGAATATGCAGGCATGAGTGAAATGCTCATGTACACAGACGTGTGTACCACTGATTTAGAGTCATCCTAGTGCTGAGGATCTGTTTCTTTGCAGAGTCTCATCAGTGTGGGCCAGGGGAGTTCACGTGTGCGAGAGGTGTGTGTATCCGCGATGCCTGGCGCTGCGATGGAGATAATGACTGCAGAGACTGGTCTGACGAGTCCAACTGCACTGGTGAGAACACACACATACTTCCAGATCTTCTCGAATGACATTATACTCATGACAAACTGCTTTATGATTATTCCATTTTTAATTTTCTCTCTTTCTCTTCGTGTCCATCAGTTGGCCACCACACATGCGAGAGCAGTAGTTTCCAGTGTCACACAGGTCACTGTATTCCGCAGCGCTGGGTTTGTGATGGAGATGATGACTGTCAGGACGGCTCTGATGAGGAGCCCAGTCACTGCGGTCAGTGGCGTGATACTTCACAGTCAACACACAGAACACATAGATCACTAACCTATGTTCTGTGGCAGACACTGACAGTATTGGCTTTTCTGAGCACCATATCAGGTGAAAGCAGTAAAAGTGTACAGTTACAAGCCAGTGAAAGAGGAACTCCCGCTTTTGTTGAAACAGGAATACAGAAGAATTGAAATGGGCAGCATGTAACATAATGCTCAGGGTCACACTAATAGCTGATCTGTGTCTGATTCCAAACGTGTGCTGCCAAAGGTTATGAGCTCATTGTTTTCAAGCCCTACATAGTGCACTTACATAGTTACTTTAGATTCAGGCTGTGTTTTTACACCACCAGAAGGCGAACACTGTAACGGCTTCCTGTGTTCCAATGGCACCTGTCTGCCAGCCAGCGCCCACTGCAACGGCCGGGAAGACTGTCCAGGGGGCACAGACGAGCAGCACTGCGGTTAGTGACTGATTTGTAAACGAGCTGCAGGGTTGTGATTTGTGTTGTGCTGGGTGTAAATCTTAAACTCTGTTTTTGTGTACACAGATCCGCTGTGCACGCGCTACATGGAGTTTGTGTGCAGGAACAGAGCACAGTGTCTCTTCCAGTCGCTGGTGTGCGATGGCACAAAACACTGCGCTGACGGTTCAGATGAGGACGCGGCTTATGCAGGCTGCTGTGAGTCTACTGTTTGGCTTTGATTTCAATTTGGTAACCCACAGTTCACTTATCACAGTTTCTCCATGCATCACATTTGACAACACTCCAGTTGATACAGCTTCATCGACTGACCAGTACATCATTCCACAACGACAAGGAAAACACTTCTCTCCAGCCTTTCACTGCTTAGACATCATACAGCAAGGAGCACAGCTCAGATTAGATCCCATCCACGAGATTATCTGTTAGACCTCTCATACAGAGATTAGTGGTTCTCAACTGGTAGGTTGCAAGTACGCCATGTCATGAGTGTGTTCTTTCTCAAACAGTCAACTTTTATTAATGTTTTTTTACAGAACTTTCGATCGTGTGCTTCTATTTTATCAGATTGTTCTTGTTTACAACTCTTGTCTGAGATCAAGTTACCCAACACTGAACAGGAAAGCATTCAGTGACTCACTAAAAAACTTTTGCACACAAATGTAGGCCTGAGCGATATCTAAAAACAGTATATCTTCATGTTGAAAAATTAGGATTATCGATTAAATTCCTCCCCACTCTTACAGACCATGCATACACTATCCACTGCAGTTTACTTACTTTCTGTGCTGTGTTCTTTGAAAACTCTTGTTCTTAAAGTTGACTGCAGACACATATGTTTAGGAGCTCTAATTGGTGTGAATTCATGGCAGTTTTCTTTAAATGATGCATACAAAAGTGACTTGCGTGCTAATAGTGCTCCTTTGTGCAGAAATTTCAGACTGCCGCACATGCTTGAGTGAATGAGTGAGTTCCAAAGCCACGTCCTCATACTTTATAAGGTGTTTACCAATGATATAGCAGAGGCGCTCTAGAATTCAGCTATAGATGCCTGTGAGAGATCACGTATAGTATATACACGTATAGTATATTATCATATATAGTATATCATCATAATTGTACTAATCTGAATCATCGAGACACTGAATGGAACAGTCTAAATCTAATTTACAGTCTATCGGTTGAGACATGTTTGGAGTCTAAATTTTTGCTTTTTTAGTTTTGAACTGAAGCTTTGAGACAAACATTGCTAACAAACCCTAGAACTGAATAGTCACTCAAACAGCCCAGATAATTTCTGTTTACTGTTTACTTTCTGGAAAAGATGGAATGTCTGTCAACCTGTTGAAAACGCAAGGTTGCTCAGACTTGTCTATGTGGTTTAGAGCATAGTTTGACACTTATAAAATATGAAAAAAAACTGCAGGCAAACACATTAGTCTAAAGCAGGGGTGTCCAATCTTATCTGCAGAGGGCCGGTGTGGCTGCAGAATTTTGCTCCAACAAAGCAGGAGGTCACCTGATGAAATGTTTAAAGACTAAGACCAACTTAATAGAATCAGATGTGCTCCAGCTTGTTTGGAGTGAAAACCAGCAGCCACACCGGCCCTTTGCAGATAAGATTGGACACCCCTGGTCTAAAGTTACAAACCACCTCAGGAATATGACTGCAGATCTATTTGTGAAATAAATACAGAAGAATCTGAGCCAAGTTAAGTGCTGGTGTCGTCTGAAATGTCTGCCATTAGTGGTGAAATTTGGTTATTTATTATAACTTACAGTAAGTTGTACTGTGCTCTAAATAATGTCAGAAAGTCTGTGCAACCTTATTGAAGACCTGGATGCAGTTTGAGTGGGTTGACAGAAGTCTTACAGAAATGATCTGGGCTATTTGGGTGACTATTGAGTTGTAGCAACATTACCCTCGTAGCTCCAGTTCTAAACTAAACAAGCAAAATTTGGACACCAAACATGTTTTAGCTGATGGACTACATCAGGGGAAAGTGGAACATTTTTCACTGAGCTCTTCACGTAGATGATGATGTTGTTGTTGTTGTTGTTGTTGTTGTTGCTATTATTATTATTATTATTATTAAATGAAGGGAATGAATGTGGCCCTGTTCACTGTCCTCCACCAGCCACCCATCCTGAGTTTGAGAAGAAGTGTGATGCCTACAACTTCCAGTGTGCCAACGGGGTGTGTGTGAGCCTGGACTGGAAGTGTGACGGCATGGACGACTGCGGTGACTACTCGGACGAGGCCAGCTGTGGTGAGCACCACGTCTTAATCAATCTCAAATACTCACTGCGTGTGTTTGTGTGTTTTGACTGTGCGCTGTGTTCTCTCTCAGCAAGTAACCCCACTGAGGAGCCGGGCTGCTCGCGGTACTTCCAGTACGCATGTAAGAACGGCCGCTGTGTGCCCACCTGGTGGAAGTGTGATGGGGAGAACGACTGTGGAGACTGGTCTGATGAAGCTCAGTGCACAGGTACGAGTCTGGAGCTGCACAGACTTGCAGTCTGGTTAAGCTGCTAGTAGAGACGTTATGATCCGATCAGGAAGATCAGAGCCTAACCAGGGCATACTTGTTTCAGGGACGCAAGTTTTCAGATAGTGCGGAACAACTTTTAAAAGGAAAATAAAAACAGCACAACAGCCACTTGTAATGTCTGTACTGCCGGTGTTTATCCTGCATTTAAGCTAGCTACCTTTTCCACTTTTACAGTTAAACCAGAGGTGTAGCTATGATGGGCTACCTGATGTCATTGAAAATGTTACAAAATGTTATTTGTTTATTTGCTGTTATAATACAGGACGTACCCAAAGGTGTTAAGCTGTTCTTCTTCTTGTGCCTTTTTTTTCCAACAAATGATCACCAGTAATTTTTCCTGATGGCACAGGCAAGCATCACCTTGCTCCAGTGTTTCTGCAGAGTATGGAAACTTTGCTGAGTTGTGCTCACTCCTACCGTATGCTTCTACTAACACATGGCTATAGTGAGCTAGGGAAGCAGTAAAGTTGATCATGGCAAAGAAATTGAATACTGTGGAAAAACAATGAGAAAATGTCTACCAGTTTTGAGCCATTCCCCAGACATCTACACACAGTGCTGTACAAGAGAGGACTCTGGTTAATTAGCCTTTACCTGCTGTGCTATTCTCTCACCTGTCCTAGTAAATAGGCCGTCAGCAGTGTGTAGTAGTGTTTTTTTTTTTCCCCTCTGGTTATCGTAGTTACAATAAAGTATGCTGGTGGTTGTCAACCACACTAAATCGATGTCTCTGTGATGCAATACTTCCTAACCCAGCTTCTCCCTACATTTAAATTCTGGCTGCACCACACTCCAGAAAGCACCGAGTTAAATAACACATTTTTACCTGTTTTAGCTGTTTTAACATTTTCTCTTAAAACACATTTTGTGTTACTTTTAACACAGAAAGTGTTAACTGTAACTGGGCGCAGAAATATTTTGTTTTAAAAATAACACAAAATTTTTGGTCCTTTAACTGAACACATCTGTGTGTCTAGTTATGGACAGAATGTTTTGTCTTCAACATATCTGTTTTAAGAGTGCACAGAGTCAAACTAGCTGCACATTATCAAAAGGTTCAAAGCTAAGAGTATCCTATTGCGCATGTTAAAGAAAACCACAAATGCAGCATATTCAATTCAGAAAAGGAGACCAAAGAAAGAGTGCAGCATACTGCATTACTTTCATCATGGTCACTGAAGCTAAATGCCTATGGTAGAAATCATGGGGGGATTTTAAATGATCTGAGCTAAGCATTTGCTCAGTGTGACATCTGAGGACCATGGAGGCACGACAAATTTGAGGAGTCATCTCAAATAAGTGATACTTATCAAAGTACCGCTAGGCTCTGATGAGGGCAAAGCTCGCATTTAGATCGGCCTGTATCTTCCAAACCTCCTCTGTAGCTCTCTGTAGCTCAACCTGGCCTGCATATCAATCTCACTGCTGCTTTCTATTTAAAAAACAAATAACTAGCAAAATAAAAAAAAACTTTAAACGTAATAAATAAGTAAAGTAAAAAAAATCAGTTCAGTTTTGCGCTATATATATATATATTATGTCTGTTTTGTAGTATTTATGAAGTAATTAAATCATATATTTTACCTGTTTTATCTACGTGTATTTGTGTTTCTAGATGGAATCTTACCCCATACACCTGTTCCTGGCCCTGTCTCCTGTGCTCCCAACCGCTTCCATTGTGGCTCCGGAGCGTGTATAGTGAATAACTGGGTGTGTGATGGCTACGCTGACTGTCCTGATGGCAGTGATGAAGTGGGCTGTCCCACAGGTACATTCACACTTACCACTGTCAACACACTGCCAACTCCTTCTCATACCTCACCATCTCTGCCTCTCCATCTCACTCACCTCACCATGTACTCATGTATCTGTTAGCCTCCAACAGCTCCGCGACTCGTACAACCACCTCCACGGCTGCACCCGAGCCTTCGGGCCGCTGCACCAGAGGACAATTCCGGTGCCGTAAACCTCCCACCTGCATCCCAGACTGGCAACGCTGTGATGGACGCCGCCACTGCCAGGACGGCTCAGACGAGGACAGCTGTCGTAAGTGTCTGTGCACAATATAAACACATACACACGCATGCACTGTAAGCTTCAGAATTATTGCATCTTTGATAAAGATGAATAAAAATTATTATTCTTAGTATTCAGTTACTACAGGGACTTTAAAACAAACGGATTGAGCTATTCTTAGGTTATAGAAGTGTGTAATAAAACTTTAGGCCCCTGGGGGGCCCTGGCCATGTAAGGGGCTAGCAAGGTTCCCAAGGCATTCAGAGGAAAAACAGCCCTAAAACATGAGCTTCTGCGACCATATGTACACTCTGCATGTTCATTTCTGGTTCAAGTGATTAAAAAAAAAAGTTTACATTTGGGTAAATAAAATACGACCCTTTTATTCTTCTTCTGTTTTTGTTTTTTTGATTTCATGATTAGTTTGTGAAATTGTAAAACAAAGCTATTTCTTGATTTTATTATTTTTTTTTTTTTTCACAGAACCTAAAACGAGCTGACCCATATGGTACCGGCCATATGTTGTTTTTTTTCTCTAAAATTGTTATATTTTTTGTTTTTTCAAATATGTTAAATACAGCATATACTCTGTAGAGAATGTGTACTCATTTCCAAATCAATAAGGCATGTCATTTGACCAGGGGCACCCAAACGTTTGCATACGACTGTTATTAACAAAAAGATGCAGCTGTATTGTACAGCAGATTCTTAATGTGCTCCTGGTGCTTATTCTGCAGTTTTATTGCATCCACCTTAATCTCATATTTAAATGCTCCTGAAGTCTTGGTAACTGAAACAAGTGTGAGAAATTAACAGTTTGTAAATAAATAGTCAGTTTATCAAAACTAGACACTGTAGGAGAGTGTTATGGGCGAAGAGTTTGAAGCTTGAAGTGTATTAAAGTATGATTATGTTGCTGCAAATCAGTTTAATATTTTGAAATGTTGTTGGCAAATTGATGCAGTTGTGAAGCCAAAAATATTTTTGGCTTGAGTGTATGTAATAAAAAGAAACAGGAAACTTCATTGCTTTCTGTTTCTCGCTCTCTCTTTAGCCACCCATGGGCCTCTAGCATGTGTGAATGGCAGTCTGTGTGCTGATGGGGAGGCGTGTGTGATGGATAGTGAGAGATGTGATGGCTTCTTAGACTGCTCAGACCACAGCGATGAGGATAACTGCACTGGTGAGAGACTCTGAGCCTCCGTCCCACACCAAACTCATCCTGTCAAACACACACCTACACTCAGAAAAACATCTTCACTCTTTACTTTCAGACTTGATGGAGTCCAGCTGTTCCTTACTGTCTTAATCCCACGTATTTCTCCTCCACAGTCGACTCGCTGGTTTATAAAGTCCAGAACTTGCAGTGGAGCGCTGATTTCTCAGGCGCCGTCACGCTCACCTGGTCCCGGCCCAAAAACATGCCACCTTCCACCTGCTCTTTCATCATCTACTACAGGTACTCTTCCTTCACCACACACCTCGCACTTACAGTCCAAAATGCATCACATTCCCAGTGTAACATAGGGTTAAACGTAGGGGTGGACATTTTAACTATTTTTGCTATTTTATTTTTTGCTATATCCACTTTTTTCTATACAAATTTACTATATATATTATATAGCTATAGATAAAATTAAAAAGGTTTAATATTTGTGTGCAGCTAGCCTAAGATCCGATCTATGACAGACCATTCGGTTTATTTAGTGATTGATTTTTATATTTCCATATGTAGCTTCCCTTAGATGTTTTGCAAAACATCATGCATAAGACGCTTATTGTATCTCAGCATTGTCTCTGGTTCTATGTTGCATGCTAACTTAAAAACATTACGAGGTAATATTCACACCATTATTAATTCTACTTCTGTTGCTTGTGTTATTGCTTATATCTGTATGTATGGACTCTCTGATAGTTTCCCTAAATAAGGAATAAAAAAATAGAAATTTACAAGGTAAAAACCCTTTTTTTTTTTTCTTCAAACTACACCTTTTTTTTTTTAACCAATAAAGCCAATTTAAGGAGACAAATGCCACGTTTGGATATCGTTGTTTTAGAATGACCACACTTGTTAACAAATGAAAATATCTGAAGTTCAACAGAACACACAGAACGGTATGTCTGATACCCCTCCACTCTTTCAGCAAACTAATCTCCCTTCTTTGTGAAGAAGTTTTTGCACCTGCTGCCTCCCCACCTCCTCCCTTTTCCTGCTATTCTTCATTTATCTCTCAGCCTTTAAGCAAGGGGGCAGAGTGGTCTTTAGTGTGGAGCTGTTTCGCAGGTCACATTCTGATGTACCTTCTTCCCACAGTCAGTGCACATACAACAGCAATAGATACTTCACTTGAAGGCAGTTCATTGGAGCACTTTATGAAAAAAAACTGCCAAATGATTCATGCATTGTGAAACAGTGTGATGTAATGATACATAAAGAGGTGCTACTTTATCATAATTACATGACTTTGTGGTTTTGGTGCACACTCTGTAATTATTTTGAAACAGCTGTGCTCCAGGTGCTGTGAAACAGTTTTGAATGGGCTGTATCAGTCACCAGTGTGTGTGCTGTTTTCCTGTTCCAGGCTGGTGGGGACTCAGCAGTGGACCACCATGGACACACACAGCAACAAGAGCAGCTACACGCTGACCGTGCTGCGGCCGGACACCACCTACCAGGTTAAAGTGGTGACGCAGTGCCTCAGCAGGCAGCACAAAACCAACGAGATACTGACACTCCGCACCCCTGAGGGCTGTGAGTCACACATCTGCCACATCATACAAACACACACCGCCTAACTGCACCGCAGAGAAGAGTGTGAGTTCTTATTTACACTTTAATGTGTGTGAATGTGTGCAGTGCCAGATCCTCCTCAAGCGCTGCAGCTCAGCTGTGATAAAGCAGAGGACGGGACAGTGCTGTGCTCCTGGAGCCCCCCGGATAATTCCCACGGACTCATCAGAGAGTACATTGTGAGTTTAGAATGCTTCACTTCTGCCTCCCTCATTTTCCTAAGACCTGACCACTGTAACTGAATTAATACTGGCCCTATAATTTGGATAAAAATGCTTGTCAAAGTGGCTGCATCAGTTTTGCAATCAATTTTAAAATTAATTATAATGGATTGTAATGATATTGAAAAAAGTCTGCTGATCTTTGGCTAAAAATTCTCAAATGTAAAAATTAGGGCTGTCAGATTATTAAAATAATTATCCATGAACAAAATAACAAAATAATGTTACGATTAATCACATCTTATTTGCTCCAATTCAACCCTGAAGGTTTTTTTGCATTTAAAACGCAGTGCATTTTGCCCTTTATTACTGCTGTATGATTGGACAAAATAACCTTCTTAAAAATGTATTTATTAGTTTTAGTAATTTATTAACACTTTTATTTTGTAGACAGGAGTTTCACAAGAAGCTGAACATAAACACCATTTCCACAGAGTGATCACACTTTTCAAATTTTCATCAACATCCAGAGATCAACAGTGAAAAGCTGTATTTGAACGTACAGGGTGATTCAAAAAGATTCATCCGATTTTGAAATGATTTATTTCACTTGTAAATCATTACAGAACAATGCAGTAAATTGTAAATGGTTTAAGTGAGCTTAAAGTTTATTATGTAATTTTACAACGATGAATGCTCTGAGCTGTTGGAGGTTCACTGCTGATGAAAATCATGTTGCACAGTTATGACGGATTCACTCTTATTGAAGTGGAGAACGTAAAACTCTTTTTGCTCAGTTGTTGCCATCTCCTCCCAGACTGAAGGGAGCCATCTTCCGGTGACAGTCAGAAACTCTATGACCCCCTCTTTCAGTTGGTATGTGATTGGTTCCTAGGCGCCTCCCAGTTGTAAAAATATGGCGCTTTGAAATCAGATTAATCTTTTCGAATCACCCTGTATTTCTTTATGTAATTAGTCACATTACTCACATTTATTGTGGATTTTTAAAAATAATTCTAAATCATACTAAAATTACCAAATTGAATCAAACTGTGGTAAAAATTTTAAATATTGGTATTTGCATTGAATCTTTTCTTAAACACTCAACCAGGTCGAATCACTGCATCAATTACACCCACAGGCTCTGTTTTCATAACTGTGTGTGTGTGTGTGTGTGTGTGTGATGACCAGGTGGAGTACAGTGAAAAGGGCAGTTCCGAGTGGTTTTCTCAGCGAAGCACCAGCACCAGTACAGAGGTCAAGAGCCTTCAGCCCAGCTCCCTGTACATGTTCAGGGTGAGCCTCACTCACTTCTTTAGCCTCATACTTCAACACTTCCCTCGCAAGAGTTAATTCACTAACGTCTCCCTGATCTGCTCTTTCTTCCAGGTGGCTGCAGTGACCAGCAGAGGGGTGGGGAATTGGACTGAAATCAAATCCATCGTCCCTAAGAAAGGTACACTGCTGTGACTGTGAGACGGCCCCTGTGGCTCCCTCTGCTGGCTGCTTTTAGGTACCTCACAACATGAACTGTATGTACTCACTTCCCTCTTGTTTTCAGCTCTGGCACCTCCTGTTCCAAATATTGACAATGTCAGTGAAGACTCAGTGACTCTGTCCATCAAATCTGATTACAAGGTGAGTAAATACCTTGTGTGTAAGAGCTGCATCTATTGTCCCTCTGTGATGATTGTAACCCTGTTCTTTTGTTTTCTAGGCTAAGCACTATGTGGTGGTGTTCTCCTGGGTCTTTGACAAGCATGTGAAAGAAAGCAGGAACTATACTGTCTCAGACACCTTAAAAGGTACATCCCACATTCTTCAATACCATCTCTTAGGGATGGGCATTTCGGTTAAAGTTGATATCTAAATTTGTAAGGCACAAATAAAAAATAATAATAAAAAATCCCCTTCAGATAAATGTGGAAGTGGATGTTGTGTTTGTATTATACATCATTTTCATTTTCATTTCTCAAGTTCTACATAGGACTGCTGGATGATACAACAGTGTCCAACAATTCAAAACTAATATACACTAGTCCAAAAGTGTGAAAGCAAGCAGCATTGTCAAATCAAGATGTTTTGTTGATATCTAGTTTAAACAAAGATTTCCAAAATACTGCACTGGTTTGCTTGAAGCATGTGTACCTTTACTGGTTTTAAATTTTTGGACAATACCCAGCTGTCCTGTGTGGAACTTCTTAAAAAGACACATAAAAATGAAACAAAACATCCAGTTCCACATTTATTTGGAGGGGTAATATTTACTTTATTTTTATTAATCTCTTAAAAATGTAGATATCAAATTTGACTAAAATGCTCATACCTAACTCGTGCTCTGGGAAAAGCATTCACAGTTCTCTTCCACTGACCAGTTTTTAATTATTAAGTCCTAATTTAACCCCTAATTTGAGGTGAATATAAGTAGAGCTGCAATTCAATTCTGCAGCACAGCTACCAGGAACAAAACATTCAGGAATCAGTTGTACACTATTGCTGCAGATGTTTATCAGTCAGTTAATGTTAGTAAATGTTATTAAAAATTTTATTTTATTTAATTTACAAAACGTTTGACAAGTTTTTACATACCTTTGGCCTGTAGTGTCATGTATGTGTATATTCATGCATTCCACCTCTCTTTGGCAGCCACCAATCTGACAGCTGGGACGCTGTATGAGATTGCTGTGTGGGCCCACACCGCTGATGGAGACAGCCCCACTGCCCTGTCCCGTCTGCGGACTGCAGGCAGTCAGCCAGCTCAGCCTCTACTGAAAGCCCGCGCGCTCAACCAGACTGCTGTGGACTGCAGCTGGACCGGGCCTCAGGCGCAGGTACTCCCAACACATAAACATTCACAGAAAACCCAGTGATGTTGCATTACCAAGGTCATATGTGATATGCAGTGTCAGTGTGCTAATGAACAGAGATGTGAATGGTGCGTCAATTACTGTGGAGTGACGTGTAGGGCTGCAGGCAACTATCGCTAATCATCTCTCTAATCAGAATACTAGGTTAACCTATCAAGCTAACAGTTCTGTACACCTCCTGTAGTGTAATGCACTCTGGAGTGAGCTGAGGTGGCGTTTTATTCATTCATTTAAGTAAATAAAGTGTCAACAATAAAAATTCATTCATCTAATGGACGTTGTTTCAAGTAATCAGTACAGCCCTTGTGATGTGTGTGCAGATGTATGGCGTGTTCTATGCCACCTCCTTCCTGGACCTCTACCGCGGGCCGCACAGCGTGAACAGCAGCAGCAGCAGCCTCATCCTCACTGTGCAGAATGATGAGCAGTACCTCTTCCTTGTAAGAGACCTCGCTCCTCGTCTTCGCTCTGAATATCTAGGCAAGTTTAAGGTAGAGCACCACATGTGCAGATATGCTGATTAACCTTGCAGGTGCGGGTAATTGAGCCATACCTGGGCCCTCCATCCGAGTCAGTCGTGATAAAAATGATTCCTGATGACCGACTGCCTCCACGGAATCTGCATAAAGTTCGAGTGGATAAGACACAGGCCACACTGAAATGGCAGGCGCCATATGACAGCCCCAGCTCTCCTCTGGTAAGACATGGTCACATTAAAGGGGTATTCATCATCAGTTAGCCAAAAAAGCAACATATTTTTTACTTTTGCTTTTCTCTAATGTTTTTACACTCTCTGTTTTCTCTCATGCTGGCTTTTATTTGGCTTCTTCATTGTAAAGCACTTTGAGCTGCAGTTTTATATATGAAAGGTGCTATATAAATGAAGTTTATTAATTCTATGTGATTTTTTACAATTTCCCCATAATTCACTTGTTGAGGTTCAGAGTGGTTTGGTGTGAATTGTTTCATGTTTCATTAAAAGAAGTGATTCAGAGCATCCAGTTTCATTGGTTTTAGTGTAGTTTTTCCCAGTACAACCATTTATGTCTGTTACTACATGACCATTTTCCAACCTTCCTTAATCCCTTAGAATAAAACAGGATGTTTTTTTCTGTGCCTTTAAGACTGATATAGTAATTAAGTTCTATTCTGATTGGCTGCTGTGTGCCTCATTCAAAACGCGGTGCAGATTTAAACACCTCTTATAACTTCAGTGTGAATGTGCCAGGCCAAAATGCTGTATCCTGAATAGGCATGCATTGGTTTGACTAAATATTAGGCAGTATAGTGTCACTGTGCCCAGAGTTTCTTTACGGTAGTTTTTAAATGTGATACAATATTTCTGCCATATCGCCCACCCTACCTGCATGTGTCTTCTGAGTTTTTATATGTAATGTTGATGATGGTAAAAAAAAGTGGTAAATGCTCAGCATGTACCTCTCTGCCAGAAATACGTTTTAGGCTACAAAAACAATGTCTCAGGTATTAGGCAGTATATTTTGTGTAGTAATTTTCTGTCAGAGAACTTTTAGAGGCGTTCAAATGTCTGTATCACCACCACTGTGAAAAAATCTGACTTACTATGTTTCTGTACAACAGAGCATTTTATATCAATCCACTCTGAATTATTGTGTTCACATCTTGACACTTTCATTTCAACACCAATTCTCACACATACAAACAAATATGGTCAGCATGTCTACTGTAGCCCAGCTTTACTGTGTGGATCTATTATTGATATTGAAAGAAATTATATTCATTTTGTTGCTTAGCATTTAGCAAATGTACATGATAATGTTTGTACGTGTGCAGACATACGTTGTGCACGTGAAGGATACAGTGCGGAAGTCTGAACTAGACTACAAAGTAACCACTCAGAACAACACAGTGGAGTACTGTCTAAAGGGCCTGGAGGCCGGCGGCCGCTACAGCATCACCATCCGGCTGCGTAACATGTCCAAGGAGGCCGCCTACACACTCAACACAGGTACACAGCTTTTTATGTCTATTAGAGACCAGCACAGGCTTTTTAAAGCAGTTAGAGCCCAGCACAGGCTTTTTATGTCTGTTAGAGCCCAGCACAAGCTTTTTAAGGCAGTTAGGGCCCAGCACAGGCTTTTTATGTCTGTTAGAGCCCAGCACAGGCTTTTTAAGGCAGTTAGAGCCCAGCACAGGCTTTTTATGTCTGTTAGAGCCCAGCACAGGCTTTTTATGTCCGTTAGAGCCCAGCACAGCCCTCAGTGACAAATATAGTTCAATGTAGTCCTCAGTACAACCCTAAACACCCATAAGATCCCAGTACAGCTGTTTATGCCCATTTCATTTTTACATGACCATTTTCCTCTCTTAACCCCTTAGAATAAAACAGGATGTTTTTTTCTGTGCCTTTATAACTGATATAGTAATTGTGTTCTGTTCTGATTGGCTGCTCTGTGCCTCATTCAAAAAGCAGTCAAGGTTTAAACACCCCTTATATATGTATGAGCTGTACCAAAATGCTGTAGGCTGAATAGGCCGATGTATGTGCATGCGTTGGGTTGACTGAACAAAAATAATTCAAAACAAACTTTTTTACAAGCTTAGTTTCCATATATAGATGAGGGAGCTAATTGCACTTCGAATGGTAAGTCTTTTATTTTAAAAAAGTGATGCTGCTTCCAGAAGCAATTTGGAACTCTTCAGTGAGTGATTCCATTTCCATTTCACTTACAGTTGACAGGGGAAGATCTAGCAGGACAGAAATTTCACAAGCTGACTTTTGTCATCCTATGACAGTGCCATGTTCTTCAGTATGACCCATTCTGTTGCCAGTGATTGTCTATCACCTGTTAACAGCAGGTGTGGCTGAAACACCTGAATCAAATAATTAGAAGGGGTGTCCCAATACTTTTGTCATATCATGTATCAGCACCTGTACAGACCTGCTGCTGCAGATCAATCAAAAAACAATCTGAAAGTGAAAATATGAAATAATCCGAAAGTCTTCTATTATCACTGACATTTTGTCTGCTAACTCTCTTTTACAGTTCCTTTACCACCACCTGAAGCCCTCAAGATCCTTGCTGAGAATGGCCGTGTGTTCCTGTTCTGGAAGAGCCTGGCTGTGAAGGAGAAAAGCTTTAATGAGAGTCGGGTGAGGGGTCATACACATACACACACCCTCCCGTTATCTTTACGCATACTCTTCTCCCAAATGCTTCCCATCTCATAATGGGAAACCTTTGTTTGCTCTCCACAGGGCTACGAGGTCTATGTGCATGACAGTGTGAGCAATTCCACTACAATGCTTGGGAACACGACAGAGACATTTTTCTGGACCGGTAACCTACTGCTGGGTCACAACTACACGTTCTCAGTGCGCGCTCGCTGTCTGGTGAACAACCAGCTGTGTGGAGAGGCTGCGGTGTTGCTGTATGATGAGTTGGGCAAAGGTATACATTCACTTCTGATCCCTCACATCAGATTACTGCACAATGCAGAGCTGTAGGACATATATGGTACCCAAAGTTTAATTTGGATAAAAATCTGGACAACATTAAGGATTCAAGGTGACTGCTACTTAGATCTTCAGCTAGGCAACATACTTTTCTTGGATTTTTATGGATAATAATGTGGGAAAACACAAGTTAGTCCGACTAACCACCAAACACGTCCTGATCTACATTTGGGCTAAGGAGCAGTTTCTGTAAACTGATCCTTTTAAGTCTTGAACAGTAATTATTCATGTTAGCATTTATTGCGTTGTACAAGCATCAGTGCTGACTTGTCTCTGTTTTAAGGTCCCGACGATCCAGCAGCTCATTCAGCCCGTTCAGGTGACATGGCGGCAGTGGTGGTCCCAGTCTTGTTCATCCTGCTGTTGGGTGTGTGTGGTGGTCTGGTAGCCCTGTATGTACGGCACCGGCGCCTGCAGCACAGCTTCACCGCCTTCGCCAACAGCCACTACAACTCACGCCTTGGATCCGCCATTTTCTCCTCAGGAGATGAGCTGGGTAAGAGCCACACATTCTGCACATTCCTTCCACTCAGCACATACGGTTTCCTCCCTGCTTATACATTTTTATTGGATTTATTATTCGTAAGAGGCAGCAAAGGGTTTATTTTCTCAAAAAACCTGGCTTCCTTTAATGTTTATCAGCCCGTATGTAAGATGTTTTACAGTGTTTTTACTGAGTGTTTTAACTGGCTGTATTACTTGCTGGTTTTGAAAATTCTTACAAAAAACCAGAAATTTTTTAGACTACTGCAAGCAAATTGCAGGGCATCTACATCACCAGTTTGGAAGCTATTTATATGTGTAGATGACCTATAAAACAGTGAAAAACAGTGACTCCAGCTTTTGTTAACACAGGGCAATATTTCCATATATCAAATTAGAGCTGTTAAATATAGATGTAGTTTTACTGTAAAATGTGTGGTTTACCTCTGAGTTGTCCAAATTTGTCTAAAACAATTTCCCAATCAGGACTAATAAAGTTCTACAACTTTAGTACTTCTATTTTAAAGAAAATATGGGCTGCAACTGCCATTCAGAGTATTATTGTGCAACAAGCATTTTCTTTATTTAAAACAAAAGAAATCTCCAACACTTCCTATATTATATGGCAATATCTTGGAAAGAATTAAAGAATGTCTCTTAAAAAAAAAAAGAAAGTAAACAACATCCGAATGTTTTCATAACAGTCATTAACTGAATTAACTTTGTCAGTTCTGTTGACTAATTGTTGCAGCCTTGAAGGAAACATTCACCAAAGTCCCGTTTTACACGTAACTTTCTCCCATCGTGTTTTTCTTCCTTTTGAAGGTGATGATGATGAGGACGCCCCTATGATCAGCGGCTTTTCAGATGACGTTCCCATGGTGATAGCGTAGTGAAGCTGCTTTTCCTCAAGATCACTCTCTCCCCATTCTCTCCCTCTTTTTTCTCCCTCCCACCTTGTTTTTCATGGGTGTCCTTCCGGCACACCTCTGACCCCATCACCCCGTCCAGTCTAGGATTTCAGGATTCAGAGGAAGAAAGGAGAAAACAAAACGAAAGAGATATTTTTTAAATATAAGATGCACTTTTTTTCGGATGCGCAATAACTTATTTTTTTATAGATATTATACTGTTTGTGGGTGATGGACTTTGTAGGCAAAGGGGGAAAAAATTAATGGAAGCAAGCTGTGAAGAGGTTTGTCAGCTGGGCTCAGTGGACAGGGAAAAGACCCTATAGTACCACTAACTCACAAACACATCAGAGCATTGCGTGTCTTAAAAAGCCAAAACGAGCACCTATCCACAGGATCATCATCCAGCGCAAAAACTCAAAAATCAACAAAAAAATAAATCACTTAAAGGTGTACAAATGAAAAAAAACAAAAAAACAGACCAATGCTGGTTTAAAAAGGGAAAGAGGTACTTGGGCTGTTGACAGTGAATTGCACAGAATTTGATTGTTGTATTATTTTGTTGTCACTTTGTCAGTAGACCTGTATATTTGCCCATGTTACCGTTTTAACATTTTTTTTTTTATTTACTGTCTGCTCAACATATCGCTTCAGAGCCTGTATAGGTGTTTTTCTCTGCTTGTGGAAAATGTGAAATCACCAGTTTGTGTTTCAGTTTTGCCATTTTTTACTGGTTATAATGCTGAATCACTGTAAGACATTTAAGAATGACCTGCAGATCTTTATCTCAGTAATTCTTGCCTGACTATTGTCAGCATTCAGGCCACCAAAGCTGACAGAGTTGCCGTTTTGAGAAAGCCTTCTTGAAATTTTATACGGGACTCCTTTAAATGGCACTGGTTTCTTCTTACCGTCGTTTTATTTCCTTCCATCTTTTAAGTAATGGTGAAACTGTTACAACCGTCATCTCATGTGCTGTTGTTGTATCAGTCTTTTGATGCTCTCAGGGAACTGGGTGTGCGTATGTGTACAGTGGTAGGATACGGTACCAGCGTTCGCAGCCTGTGCAGTGGTTGGTGTGCTTTTCTCTCTGAGGCAGTCATGCAGTACAGTGGCTTTGTGTAAGCGCCACGCCTGTGCACATCAGTCAAGACTTCATCTTAGCGTTTCGTGCCAAACGGACAGGAAAGCGGAGAGTACAGCGCGGTTTTTAAAGACACATTTACCCGACTCGGTTGAGACGAGGTACGCTTGCATTGAAATGTGTTGAGAGACGTTCCATCAAGAAGTACCTTTTTAATCTCCCCATTAATTTTCATAAGAATACATGCACAGAATATTCAGAATGTATAAAAATGAGTTACAGTGGGGTTTAAGACCACCAGTGAAAACGCTCCTATTTTGCATTCTTTTTTCATTTAATACAAAGTTTTTCATTACAAGTCAAATCAGCATAAAGATCTGGGTGAAAAGTAGAATCTTTAAAAAAGATTTACATAAATGTCTGTAATCTTTATGTCCCTCGTTTGACAGCGTGCACTCAAATTGGTATGGACTCCTCAAGTTTGTGCAAAAGCCCAGCAAGCAGCTCAAATCCAGAACACAAGATTTAATCAAAGAATAAGACTTAACATGGTCGATGTCAGTTTGCTGAATTTAAATAGTGACTTGGAAATGCTGCAGAATTTTAAATATTTCTTCCTTAGTTTTCTTGCCACATTTTTTTTATTTCAAGTGTTTCAGAGTTCTAAAGCTTTGTTTTTACCCTTTAGGCCTCTTGGAACCCACTGTGTATAAAATGTGTCCATTTATGGTGAAAATATTAGTCTGCATTAAGCTTATTTAAGGTAATTGGAATTATACACATAGATTATCCTTCAAAAATTCAGAATCACTGTTTCCATTATTATTATTATATAACTATATATATTATTTAGTTGCAGGTAAATGTATAAAATGATTCTGTTAAGATTCTACTACTCTACAACTTTGTAGATTTCAACTAATTAGAAGAAAGCTGTGAAAAAATATATGTATAGTATTTTTTAGGTGTGTCCTGAATGAAGAACAGCTGTAGCTGATTTTATAATTACTGAGGAAGCTGTAAAGCTGCAACATTGAGAATAAAATTAAATTATAATAAATTTAACATCCAGATTGTCTTGTGTTTGAAAATTGATCAAATCAGATAACAGAGGCAGATAACATCAAGGAATTACTGCGAATAGATAATTACAGCATAATGATACGTTCTGATGTCCAGCCTATAGCATTTAAATATACACTGTATTTTTGACAGCATAAAATATTAAAAATGATTAAAACAACAGCAATTATTAATATGAGAAATGATTCCCAGCTTTTGAACAGTACTGTTTGGCTCAGTGTGTGAACAACGCTGTTAATGAAACCTGTTCCCTCTGCTAAAAGCTGTGAAAACCCAGTAAGATAAATGATGAATGAGAAATCATTAGGACCCTCTAACAGTGGCTATGGGATTTTTTTTTCCCCCACAAGGTATAAACAGGTTTCAGTAACACATTCTGGCACATAATTACATGAGTTCATAATTATTATTACTTACAATAAGCTAATAATACAAATGCATGATTTACCCCCCAACAAAACTATACAACAAAATAAATGACCATAATGAATAATTCATTTAAACAACTGTTATATTTGTCATGTTATGTTCAGGTATTCTTTGGAAATGTATGGCGGAACAACACAAAAAGTACCCTTTTGATGGAACGTGTCTTTAAACACACAGAACTCGAGTACTGCTCGTAAGGTTTGTTCTTGAATGTATTTTTTTAATGTAAAGTTCTTTTTTATTGTCATTGTTGGAAATAATGTGGAAATTTAAGCTTACACTGATTGTGAAATCCATCTCTCACTTCCCCGCATGTGAGAATATATCGTACATCCATGTTTCACCACGTCTGCTCGTTCAGAAGAGTCAGGTACGATGTCTCAGAGCACGTTTGTTCCTGTCTTAAGTCTATATTTACAGCAAATCTCAGTTATGACGTCACCTAACCTGCAACGTCAGCAATGACCTCACACTTTAGTAATGACCTCACACACTTAAATAATGACCTCACACTTCAGTAACCGTCTGTGCTTCTGTCTCCATGTCTCTCTGCAAGCCAATAAGCTAGCATTCTCTGTAAGATACCTGATTTTGTTGCTTTTTTTGTTTTGTTTTTGTTTTCTTGGCCTTCGACAGAACTGTACAGATTCCTGTAGTAACAGTAGATTACAACAGTCTTGTTTCGCCTTCAGTCTGCCATGTATGTAACAGCTTGAGTCTCATATGTACGTAACTGATGGATTGTCAACTCACTGAAAACCCAAAGCATGGATGTGTCCTGTCGTCCTGTTTCACGCATCCTGTGTTACAGTGAGGCACCAGGCTCAATTTAATTTTTTTCGTCTTCACTCATGCAGTCTTTGTGTGTGATACCGACTGTCAAACCCCAACTCTAGTTGTACAAAAAACAAAGTTTACTTTTTTGTTTTGTTTTTTCTGCACAGTAATGACGTTGGACACGACCATGTATTAAGTTGATCTTGCTTGCCTTTGGAGGGTTTTACAGACATGAATCTTGTGAAGAGGTACAGTCAGAGGTGTTTTAAGAACCACTTATACTAAAATAAACATGTTGAAACTGTTGAAACAGGCTGCTCTCGCTCTGCATGCATAAAGGATTATATTCTCATAGGCACTTCAGCCCAGGCCACAGCCAGCGTACAGACCTCATCATTAACATGTTCAGACTGATCACCGCTGCTGCATCGCTTCATCTCAACTCCCGATCCTGACTCAGCAGTCTGACACCTCTACAACTTCCTGAAGGAGTCTATGAAGAGGAAGCTGTTATAATCCCCCAGTTTCTTTTTTAATGATGTCTGCTGTTTTTTGTGGTTCAAGAATGTTTTTTTTTTATTTGCAGTTTTCAGAATTTTTCAAAATGCTGCTTTTTTTTAAAGCTAATTTTTTTTTCTTCCCAGCTTTTTGCCGTTTGCTTCTAAACTAATCTAGGGCTCACTTCCTGTACAAGGACAAGTCATGTGCTAAACTACAATCCCAATGCTGAATCTTCAGAAATTCTTTAGTCTAGGTTTAGGGTAAATCTGGGTCTTGGGAACCAGCCAATAAGGTAATAGATCATCACTGTTGGCACAAAATTTAGTATCTTTAACAAGTAACTTTTCATGGAGAAGAAACAAATATTAACTTTCAATGTAAATTAACAAGATTTATTCCAAGTCATTTCAGAATGTTTCTATTAGTCTATTCGTCTTGAAATTTTGAGTGTAAATTGGCAGCTGGCATTTTTCCAATTACATCAAAAATGGAGACTTTGTTCTGACAATATGGTGTAATTATCTCCCATAGGCTTCTACAGAACAGAGACCTACATGCAGTTTCAGGTTCAACATAGTCGTGTGCAACCAACATTAAAAATTATGTTAAAAATAGTGACATCATGTTCTTAGCACACTGTATTAACAAGTATAAAATAACAGAGTAAAAAAAAACAGAACAAATATATTTTTTGCCTATTAGGGGCTGGAGGATAGGGAACCAGCCCTATGACCGGAAGGTCACCAGTTCGATCCCTTGAGCCGACAGTACGTGACTGAAGTGCCCTTGAGCAAGACACCTAACCCCCAACTGCTCCCTGGGCACTGCGGATAGGGCTGCCCACCGCTCCAGGCAAGTGTGCTCACTGCCCCTAGTGTATGTGTTCACTAGTGTGTGTGTGGCTGTTTCACTGCACAAATGGGTTAAATGTGGAGGTGAAATTTCCCCGTTGTGGGACTAATAAGGGTCACTTAACTTAAGCTAGTATTATTGCACTTAGCTATACCATCTTCAGTTACCCGTGCCTGTGCCAGAGAGGAAGCAGGCTGAAGTTCAGCTGCAGTGGAAAGTGACAGCATATGAAAAAAACACAAGTGTGCAGAAGTGAAATAATCCCAGCAGAAGATCACAGGCATTCGGAACATCAGCTCTTACTACAAGATAAAACAGCACAATCACAGGAAAATACTGCATTAATGCGTTATTATATTTACTTTCTAAAATGAAATTTCTGAAAACTGTTTTTGCGCCATCTTACTTTAGAGGCAAAACTCTGAAATCATTTTTAAAAGTTCAGAAAAGAATTTTATTTTTATTCATTTATTTTTTGGCAAATTTGGCCTATTGCTCCAGGATGCATGTCTTCCAATCACTCCGAGTGAATGATGGATTCGTAAGGGGGCAGAAAGGAGGGAAAGCAAAGCAAACAGACGTTATTTCAGTGTTTGAAGAAGCAGATCGGGTTGCTCATGTTTATTCATGAGGTGGCTTTGCTTGGGTTGCAGTTCGACATGTTTAGAGAGGGAATGGCCTCCTGCTGTACAGCCTGTTCCTGTGTCTGTTTATTTAAACTCATCCGCCTTTATTTATTCTCACGTCTCGCTCTCCCACCCAGAGCCCAGAGATGCAGCTTACGCTCGTGCCACCACAGAGACAGCTCAATAGACGGGAGTCTGTCAGTCAACACGCAGCCTCTGTAAATAAATCCTGTCAGATTCTGCCGCACTCTTTATACATGCAGTCTGCTAGATGGGATTACATGTGAATTAACAGTAATGGTGCTGAAAGGTACACTGAGGCACTGAGAGATGACGCTGAGCTTCAGATGGATAAATATGGTTTTTGTGATGGCGAGCTCATGAAGGTTTATCAGGACTTATTGCAAATGAGCAGAAATGGGAGGCACTAGCTGATAAATGAGTTTTTTGGGTTGGACTCTTTCACAGTTTGGAGGTTTGCTGTCTGTTTATTAGAGAATCTAATTATGCATGTCTCCCTCAGATGCAAATGAAGTACAGCTGTTGAGTGGCACAGTGCTGCCAGCAGAGGGCTCCCCTGCTTTAAAATGTGTCTGGCTCGCTCGTGCCGACATTTTCACCTTCCCTCCTCTGGCTCTGCCGTTTGGCGGGAAGAGCAGCTCAGAGAAGGCGTGCAGATGAACGCAGGGAGAGCGGTGAATGGTGGGGAGGACAGAGCAGCAGCACTGCTGTAGGACTAAATCTGCTGTGGTTCAGGTTAACCTTGAGTTACTGTTTCTGCAGTTCAGCCAAATGAAATATTACACTTGTCATTTTAATAGCTCAGTGATCATTCATTCAATGGTAAAATCAATAATACAGACATTATTATTATTATTATACAGATATTATTATTATTATTAGTAGTAGTAGTAGTAGTAGTTTGCTCTGTTTATATGCTTCTGGTTAAAATATGTACAGATCCATCTCATTACTTTTTTTCCATCGGGTCTGAGGTGAACTATGAGGTGAAATATGATTAGACATCTGAACTTATTAAAATTGTCATTAGAAAGAGCTTAGAAGGAAAGCTGTTACTGCAGTACAACCTAGTTTTACATCCTAATTTTTTTCCTAATTTTCTAACTAATATTTATTATCTTTATACTTTTTGACAAAGTTATGTTTGAGGTAGCTGCCCACTTTATATTCAATATGTATTATTATGTTATTATGTATCGATACGTATAATATGTACTATTATGTAACATATCATTCCTGTCGCAACAAAACCCCCAAACCAAAATGATAACATTGCAGGAGATGGAAAAATGGTCCAAATTTTTAATGAAAGTTAATGGAACAAGATTTTTTTTCCTAAATAATTTTGGAACAATTCTCTTGCGCCATTCATCATTAAACTGTACCCCAGCTTAAGGGGCAGCTGGCATTTTCCACAAACAAAAAAATGAAAAATGGAGATAGAAGGTTTAGTTTTTCCAGTGATTAAACGTTAAATATTTTAAAAGTGTTACATGGACAGTGCTTAACATGCGGCTTAGCTATCTTGCTAACCTAGCTATGTTCAAGACTTAACTAGTAGTTCCATTCATTTTTATTGTAGAAAAGATGCCCAAGTAAAAAGGCAAATTCAGCTGTTACAGTGAATAATGTGCATTCATAGGTGTTTTACCAGAGGCTTTATCTTTCTTCTTTCAGCCACTGTACCCTGACCATGTTATTTGATCACTCCTTTTTTTAAATAGAATTTTTTCTGGACTCTTCCCAGCAGAGCTGTTCTTCTCCTTGGGCACATGTAAGAGTTCATGCGTAGGACCTGCTGTCCAACAGAGGGCTGTAGTGTGCATGAGGGAGCGCGCTGTCTCTTTGTATAGACAAAAGCTGGATTTTAAGGCTCTGAACATTGGACCCTGATGGCACTCTAAAGGGACGGCAGTCTCCTAGCTGAGTCATAGCCTTCCTGCATTCGTGTCACTGTAATAAAGAGCCTTCTTTGATCTGTGTAATGGCTAGGTAATTGATGCTAGCTGTCCAGTCCAGTGCAGATAAGGTCAATTAGGTTTTACAACCCCAAAGCTGCATTGGGGCAAACTGTAATTAGGGGAGGTCAATGTGGTAATGCTTCAGCGTCTGCAGGAAAAGTGGAAAAAGTTCCCACAAAGAGAAACACGTCTTGATATAGACCCAGCATTAAAACGGTGAAACTGCTCCATCTTTCTTGGTCATCTATTTCTTATGAGCAACATAAAAATCGTGCTGTTGGACTGAAAGAAACATTATCGCAGTTAAAGAACCATGAACTGTCCAGGCTTTCAGGGAGATGTACATGAACTTCAAAACAGACAATTAGGGTATGAAGGTCACAGAGAGAGGAGCGCCGCAGTGCATTAGAACAAAAGGGCCGTCAACCTGAAGTTTTAGAATGACGGACATTAAAGCACCTTGATTATTATTTCTGCCACTTAGGATTCCAGATAAAATGTGTTTCATTGTCCAACAATCTGTTCGAGAGCAAATGAGTTCATGAAAGACTACCTCATGTACAGGCACACACTACGCTCTCCAGAAGAAAAATGGAGCACCATCTGCTTGTCTCCAGCTGGAAAACATGGAGTTATAAATGCAAAATGGTCACTGTTTTTTTCTAGTTAAACCTATTTTAGTTGTACATGTAAATCTCTGATCGTGTTTATGAATAGCAAATTTTGCAAATGTACCAGTAGAGGGTGCATCACTCAAAAAAGCCTTCACTGATATAATGATATAAAGAGCAACGTTTCAACCAACCAAGCCACTTTACCATGTACACTGTGATGCTACAAGAATAGACAACTGTGTAAATGAATCTGGCAGTTATGAGATTATGGAAAGATGGTAATAGGTAAGTAAACAAGTCAATTAAAAATGAACAGAAAACCAAGAAAGAAAACCGGCAGCAAGAAGGGGAGGAGAACAGATGAGACTGAGAGAAAAAAAACACTGAAGTCATGTTAAAAATAGTGAAAGTAAATCTAAAGAGAAACCAGACACAAAGAGAGATATTTTGGTTCCTTCTTAAGTGTGTCGAAAGTCTCAGATGATGCTATCGGGACCTCTGGGAGACGGTTTCAGAAACTCTTCATTGATCACAGAAATGCTGACATTGCAAAGAAATTCCTGCCTTCCATTTTATTCATCAGTGAACACGCAGCACTGACACTAATGCATCGGCATGAAGAGGAAGGGCTTTGAGCTTTTGAGGATCACTCCACATCGTCGAAAAGCATCAAGCAAAACATTTATTGGGTAAACAGATGACAGAGACACTTGGCTGGGGAATAAACTCTCTCCT